TGACAGCAGAACCGATAACAGAAGTACGAAGACGACGAACAGAAAAACGAACACCAAAACCCAAGAGAGTAAGGTGCCTTTAATTAACGTACACGTTTTAGCCCCCTCACACATACGCACGCTGTGATAAGTAGGAATCTGAGTAGCTTGCATAGAATGACAGATAAAATATCAGAAATCTCTATTTCTAGCAGATAGGGTAGTGTAGTGTTCGTTGCGTAAACCCTAAAAATAGGTCTCTTATGTTTAAATGCCTTAAAATTTTCAGTACTATCTTTAATTACTTCTATATTACTATTATATTGGCCTATAAAAAAATGTCCGCCATCTTGGATTTTTCGGCAATATTGGATTGTTTTGTTTTTTTAATTCTGTTTTGGTGTCTAATTTGTTTTTACCTAAACATGCTTTGTGACAAATTTCAGGCTTTTCCTTTCCTTAAAAGTTTTATTTGATATATCATCCATTTATGATAAAGAAATTTGGCGGCCATTTAAGTGGTCATTTTTAATGGCCATTTCAATGGTCAAGATCAAGTTTTTCAATTTAGTATCCACCTTTAGCGGATTCAGCATACCTTAAATAGGTGAAATACACCAAGATACTACTTGTACTACAAAATGCCTCTAGCAAGTAATTGGGAGGGAGACAAATTCTCAAAATCAGTCCTGTCTAATGTATTACATTTCACTCCGATAGTATTGAAAGCTTTATTGAAATCAACAAGCCTAGAAACATTAAATTTGTAAATCTTACCTACTAAATCTTACTACCAACTGGGACTCTTGAAACGGAAAAAATGAAAAGAGGTAATAAAGAAATATGCTAAGAATTATATTTTTGGCACAATTATAACAATTATTCTGGAATGGCGGATCTTAAATTTTGACCGCAAGATATTGGTATAGATCTTCCTAAAATGGTAAAAAAATTGGAATAAATATTTTTAGTCCCGTCTTGCATGCACCATCAATGCAAAGTATATATTATGCAAATTAACATCAACTCTCTGCCAATTAGCATTGAAGGAAATAATCTCATCAATTGAAACTAAAAATTTCTTATAGTTTTTGCTTAATCCAGGAATTTTGAAACGCAATTATGGAAGGAAAAATTAGCATTCCTTGACTGAATTAATAGTATTTTTTCTGTACATGTCGATACTTTGATTAATGAGTTTCTAAAATAAATAGGTGACGGAATAACTTTTGTGTCTGAATTATGCATTTTGCAAATATATGCAGCTATTTCAAAACCTGATTATACCGCATTAAAGAGCATATCAATCTCAGATTTGTAATGATATTGCCGACTAGTTTAAAGAGCAACGATACTTATGTGATTCATTCGTATCAAATACTTACATTCTTGGCTTTCCATACTTGGGAACCATTTCCTTTACGCCGCAAAACTTCGTTGGCGAGTCACTTGAGAAGAATAGTGCATTGTTTTGTGAGTATTGTTGACTGTGCGACCATATATCCGTATTAAAGACAGTCTCTTTATAGATAATAGAGACCGTTCGACACCGTACACACACTACAAAAACAAAACTTGTTGTTAATTGGAGATAAAAAAAAAAAGTCACCCTAAAATAAGGTGAATATAACAGATCGCAATGTCAATCAATCATGTCCCATACAGTCAAACTGCACATTAGGATGGCTTGCTACCACAAGCTGCTATGAATGTTTGCTTTTAAAACAACTTGTATATGGTTTCACTTATAAACGGTTATGTATTTGAATATAACCACTTCATTAGGCTCTTAATTAATGGTAAACGTTTAAAGCCAGATCAACTCCACTAAAGATGATCAGAGGATATATAATATACATGTACATGAATTGCTTAAATTTGACGAAATAATTTAATATGCTTGAAACCAATTTTGAATACTATTTAAAATATTTAAAGTTGTAAAATAAAGTAAACGCTAAATTTCATTTAAGTGAATAGTTCTTAAAATTGATGTTATCATAAGCATACTTTTTATAGTACAAACTCATAAATTGAACAAAAGGGCATTTTATCTATGCCATGCGTGTTGCATGACATGGTAACTAAAATGTCCTACGAAAGAAAATCGTCTTCATTTGTAAATGAAAGATGTCTGAATGAAAGTCGAATATGTACCAGCACAAATATTCAGAACATACATAGATGGCAAATAACTACACTATCGAGTATCATTTCAAAAAGAAATGTTGCGTTGTATATAATATTTTATAACCATATTGCACATAAAGCGTTACCGAAACACTAAGATTTGCGAATGTGGTCGCACCGTTCAAAACGTAGGTATATATTCACTTATAATTAAACTTTATTATCACATAAACCATAGAATTTAGTTATTAAAAAGCAGAAAAAAATAAACTATTAAGTCTAGCAAATGACGTATTTGTTTTCATATCATTCAACAGGTAATAAAAAATGATCGATTAAACATATTGTGTCTGATTTATGCTTGAAGTTATCAAAACAAGTAACATAATATCTCATAAACAACTATTTTACAACCGTCAAAATGACATTTGCAGGTTTTTAAATACATCCCTGTGATTCTTCTCTACTGCTTTCATTTTTGGTTAGCAAAGGTATCCGGATATTTTGCATATTTCGTTATGCAAATTTTCGTCTGACGTTGTTTTCTTTGCATTCCCCGACTTTTAAGTATCCATGAAAAAAGGAAGTAATCAATTACCGTTAAACATTTATCTCAATGTGACTTTAGTTAAACATTAATGAATAAAGATCATGATCACCAATACGGCGAAATTAATTTGACAATGAAATATTCAATTTGAAAATATTTGAAAATGTCATCGCCATTACTGTAGCATTAAGCGTTTATTGAACATGATCCATCGATCGGTGTCTCAGAAACATTTCCTTGTCATATATATACATGTGTATATATTAACATTAGTAGGATGTGAACGGAAAGTACGTTCAACTAACGAAACTAACGAAAAGTTATGAAAAAATCCTTTTCGACAGAAAGACTGGCTGTTTTCGGATGACTTCCTGTAAATTTTACAGGGAAGAACTTAATATAATAATTAAGAGTTTTCATTGGTCATTTTAAAATTAAAGAATGAAATCTTATTGGCCATTCTAAAATAAAATGTAAAGGATAGTTCTTGCCCTTATGAAATAAAATGTAAAGGTTAGTTTTAAGATAAAATCTTTAACTATAATTTCTATTTAAATTGCTCAGATATTTTAAGTTCTGTTTAACAAATCGTCTTGCATTACATTTTCTAGTAAACTCTCCATTTTAAGTAAGATCTTACTGAGTTTGTTTTACACAAGATATGAGTTTTAAATGTTGTCCAAAATAACGAGAATAATATCAGAAATTATCAGGTACCCTTAGTTTATGAAGTTTAATAAGTGTCTTATACATTATTTTATATGAATAATGATATGTTCAATTGATATAATGTTTATAATTTCTATATATTTTTGCGTATTAATCAAGTATATTTATAAAAATAATTGTCTTGCCGACTGTGTAGATGTTGGTGTTAGAAATTGACTTTACATAACGAAACACGACAGGGTCGTTTAGAAACACATGCATCTTAATTAAAGTGTTCCATTTTTCAAGATTTTTCAACCCTATAAGAAATTATTATGTCATTGTTATGCAAAATTCTGGAAACAAAGTGATCCCTCGGAAGCATTAATCACAACAAAATTACGTAAGAATTGAAGACTCGGTTTGATTGAGTCTGTACATGAGAGATAATGAATAAGTGCAACATTCCTCACGCCTCCTAGCACCGGCTTGAGCGGTACTCAATTCTCAAGCCATGCTAACATTTCTTTATGACTTTGCAGGGAAAACCAGGAACTACATTTTGTATTACATGCAAGTCAATAAGTTCTACTTCGCCCAAGGATCTTTTTTAAAGATACTTCTTGTTATCATAAAGAAGAATTTATTCCCAGAAAAAGAACATTTCATTCTTGTGTTAACAGAATTTAGCTCCGTAGAATAATTTGTTTATGCAGACAGAGCAATATTCAGAAAACGGACATTTCACACAATCATGTTACCTTTTATTGTCCTTGAAATTTTCTCATCTACAAAAAACTTTAGTTTATAGGTGTCGTTACATAGAAAATATCTCTTTTTTCTTATATTGTTTATTTATTACAAATTGAATAAGTATTGATGTTATTTCCGTTTACGTAATATGGGACATGTACCAAGTATATGCAATGCCGTTCTTCTTTGCCTTTTCATATTTGTGTTTCCTGCTTCATAATGATTAGGAATTTTGCCCGACATTCTTCAATGTGCCACATAACTTTGTTCCTTTTTTATTAAAGATGTACTTTTACTCTTAAATAGACTGACAAAGATGGTCGACCCCTTTCAAAATTCAATTTGATATAGTTTTTTCATGGAACGTGTCACTTTGAAGGTTCCATTACAAGCGCTTTATGAACACATCTGGGGATGTTTCTAAAATCAAAATACGATCATTTCAAGTTTCAACGTTAAATTCTGCTTAAGTCGGTGCTAGGGGGGGTTGCATGGACGGTTGCTTGCATTTACCACTACATGATAAGCCCCGCTTTCTCATCTTTTTAGCTTGGCAGTTTACAATATATATTTCAAGTCCGCTTTTCCCAACCTCCCCCATCGAACACATTCTTTCATTATTTCATTTGTCAAAGTTTAACATTAATTGACAACTTAATTAAAGGCACATTTATTTTTAGCTATCCAAATTGCATCCTTGTCTCTCCTTTGTCGTCAATAGGATTTATTTTTGTAAATAATCTGTCAATAATATTAGCATAAATTTAATTATCAGCAATGATTGATTAGGCCAATTAACCACTGCGTTTAACTTTAACATAAATACATTCTTTACAGTTATTGTTCTTGATGCGATCTTCAGTTTAGCTTGACGGGGCAACGTTATATAAATAAAAAAACGAGCCTCCAGTTGCTAAAAAACATTCGGTTGAACTTTGAATACTTTAAAGGTGCATTGAAGGTCTATGACTGGTATTTTGAAAACGTATTCCGCGAAACTTATGAGATGAGACACTAAGGCCGTTGTATTTAAGTTATATTATTTTTACCTTCAAGAACGTTTTTTTTTATTACAGTAGATGTAGAAAACCGCATGACGTCAGAAGCGTACTCTTAGAAGTGTATTTATAATGATTGTGTTCGCGGAAGGAAAGCAGTAGTAACTTAATTTTGGCAAATTGAACATCGAAAAAGAGGACCAGCACTTTTCAGATAACTTTACAACTGTTAAAGTAAGATAAACGTAATAAAAGAAACGACTCTTAAGTAAAAAATCAACCGAAAGGACTATTTAGGATAAAAAAGCGTACGTAGTGTATTAATTTTACTCTTTTTTTTTGATATTTTTAATGCATCTATTTCATCTGGATATTAACGTTGTTTCTGTACATTGAAGACTTACGAAGCGTTTTTGGAAAACAAACACCATTTGCTTTAGAATACGTAACATTTAACGCATTTTCGGAAACTTCAAAGCTAGCAAATTGAGATTGATCACTGTAGAATATGTTTTTTTTTATTACAAAACTCACACATTAAATGATGAATAATAAAAAATGTAAGTAAGTTATGTACATATCGTGAGGCTTATGCAACTTTTAATGTAAACAACGGTGTCGATCACATTTAATGTGCATTTATAACAATAATTTGCATATGCAAAGATATTGCTTAATCTTTACGTTATTATAAATATTCATCATTGTGTCGGAACATTTCAATAAAAGCAACTCGGACTATTGCAAGAGCTTATTACGCTTAGTGGTCATTTATAATGTCCTAAATTCTAATGAAGGTAGATGTTTGAAGTATCAATTTCTATTCTTTTTTTCTCTTTTGTATTTGCACTTTTCAATAGTTATAACATAAATAGTTAAAAAACATAAATATTTCTCATTGATAAAACTGCAAAATATTCGTAAATGTTCACTTTGATTTAATTGCAGTAACAACGAAACTTAAAAAACTGCATAAGAAAATGGAAAGAAAAATGATACTCGTCTTCAACGTGTTACTTTTTGCAAACATGGCATATTCCGTGCCGCCAGTATACCCACCGGAATTAGGCCCAGGATTACCGCCTGAGCTACCGGGTCTACCACCAGGTTTACCCCCAGGAGTTGATATGCTACCACCAGATTTGCTCATCGCACAGCCGGAACCCCCTCCAAAACAGAACATCAAACATACAGGAGGTGTCCCACCGTCAGGTGAGTTTGTCTATAGTTGCATTGTTGATTATGATATGCCATGGATGCTGCGCGTTAAAAACATCTTTAAATGTTGCAAACTGATTAATTCTAACACACATAGGAAGTGCATTATCAATCTTCATGTTATGTTTATATTGTTAACAGCGATACTGATTAAAAAACAGGTATACCTTTCTCTACAATGCATTTATAAGAATAATAGCAAAGTAAAAATATACAAAAAATGTTCATAATTTGACTGAATGATTATTGAGCTTAATAAAAGGACGAAACCATGAGAGACCAGTGATGACATTTCAACTTCTTGAATTCTCGGGTTTATCTTCGCGTGTTCACAATTTCAACTTCATGAATTCACGATTTCAACTTCATGATTTCATGATTTCAACTTTATGAATTCATGATTTCAACTTCACAATTTTAACTTCGTGAATACACGATTTCAACGTCAATTCACGATTTCAACTAGTGAAGTGAAGTTGAAATTTTGAATTCACGATGTTATAATTGTGAATTCAAGAGGATTAAATCGGAAATTCATGAATTTGAAATGAACCTACCGGTGTTTCGTATGAAACGGTCTTTAGTTTTGGACTCGTTCTGTTCAGTGGCGGTACTTTTTCATTATAGCTCATGGACAGACTCAAACAAACCGAGTCTGCAATTCTTATGTAATTTTGTTGTGATTAATGCTTCCGAAAGATCACCCTTCTTCCAGATTTTTGTTACTGAAGCTGCTCTGCTGGTATAGCTTTTAACTTGTGGTATGGGTATAATCCTTATCTTTCAATCCGACAATACATTAAAATAGATATTAGCTTTTCAAATTCCAAACAGCTTTTCTACTTTTCACAGTTACAAAAAAGTTTTTTTTTTATCATTAACAAGTACATGTATGCATATTTAAATGCATGAGCAATAACTTCAAAAAAGTCAAAACTTTTCATGTGACATTAAGTTATGTACAGTAACTTTTTAAAAAACTAAAGAACCAGTAAAACAGATTGATATTAAAAAACATATAAGCAAAAATCTTCACGACTTACGCAATTTGCGGTTTTAAAAAAAAACATGTGGAACGTGACCGAAAATTAAAAAAAATAGTCATGACCTTTTTTATTATTTTCAAATTTCTATCTCAATTTATCATAATTAAGTTTTAAGAAAGGGCATTAATAAACACATTAGGTTTTTTGCGGTAGAGTGTATACTTTTGCGTCAGAAATAATGCGTAATTTATTCAATTACTTTGTCATCGCGTACAGAATTTGTAACGGAAAAAAGAAAAAAAGAAATAGAAATGTACATATTCCGCAACTTTGACTTGTTCGTGTTGTGTGGTCACCACTAATAGATAACATGCCTTCATTGTTTTTTTCTTTTTATTTCTAACAAAACCATAAAGCAAAAACGTCAAAAAGCATAACTCATAATATTCATAAACAAGTTTTGAATTTATTCGCCTGTCTTGTTTATTAATATACTAACCGTTATAAAACATCAATTTGTTTCAATTCGATTTCTTACAATCTTTCTATGCCCTTAATATTGTTTCATATAATCTTGTTTTGTTTTTTATTTCTAGAAATAGAAATTGTATCATGACCTTATATAATATTGCACTTCTTGACGCATCAAATATTTAAAGTCATGATAACCAAGATATAAAAAAGACACAGTTATGAGCATGAATCATTCCTTGCAAATTGATGGTGAAACGTTAATGTTACATTTTGCATTGCACTATTAATTATGCCTTTGTACACGGCAACTCGATAAATGGTTCATCTATATCATTAGTCATAATTAAATAAATTTTTAAAAATACGTTGTCAACAACCCAACACGTTGGTGCTAAAGTTTTTTATGACATTTATACTTATATTCTGTTTAATGGCCAGGTCCTCTACTGCCCTCTTCTCTTTAAAAACGACAACACCAGTAGTTAATGAAATATTGAAATGTTATTTCACCATATCCGACATTCAATATCTTAAACAAAAATTAATATTGATAAAAATAAATAATAATAATAATTTTCATGCCTCCCATTGCAACTTCTGATTCGAAATCTTTCCATGGCCTATTTTGAATTGGTTTATAAATGGAAGGCCTGTAAAACAATGAATAATTAAGCTGATAATATTAAGTGTTAGGCAGACGAACAAACCGAGAAAGAATTATAATATATGAATGATGTTGGAAGGTGTGAGAGACAGGATCCTATGTTACATATATTCATAGAGCAGACGATAAATTGTTCTAGAACAGAATATTATTATTCACCATATTTAAAACTGTTCATAATGAATCATTTCGAACTCTATCAATAAGAATATCAATATTAACCTTTGCTATACGTTCAAGAGTAATTACACTCTTTCGCGATGTGACATACACTTAAAAAACCATAATAGCATAAGTAGTACATTTGCCAACATGTGTGCAGGAAAATCAAAACTGTATCAATGTTGTAGATTTCATCTTTCTGGAGAAAAAAAAACAACCCCAAATAGATACAGTATCACTTGTTTAAGCAACCGGTACTGTTGGCCTAGTGGTTAAGGCGTCCGCCTTCGGATCGGGAGGTCGAAGGTTCGAGCCCCACGGGGAGCGTTAATTGAAGGAGGAATGTTTCTCGTGGGACTCGTTCCGAAATGGCCGCTTCGTGAGCCGCGAGGTAGTTAAAATGAATGGTTACCGATTACTATCCGCCTGGCACCTGGCATAGTGGTAGGAATTGGGAGGTACATGGTATGCAACCAAAAGGTCTCATAAGTCAAAATGGCTGGCCCTTTCAGTAGGGGTGAAACTATAATAAACAAGACCTTTACCTTTTTTTTTGTTTAAGTAATATCTAAAGTCCTTCTGGGGACAAAAAAAAACAACAAAAAAAAAACAAAAGAAAAAACAACAACATATATGTTAGATGTAACAAAAACCTATTTCATAATTCATCGTTTCGTTATGTACGTTACACACGATTAACGCCGTCTATATTAACTGTAGTCTATTTCTGTTGTGTATTTAACCAATTGCAGAATGCCGAAGTTTGATGGATTTGGTCCTGGTAATCGACGGTTCAGATAGTATATCGGCAGGTGATTATGCTAAACAAAGAATTGCCATACAGGCTCTTATAGAAGAACTTCATTTGGGACCCAATAAAGCACAAGTCGGATTTGTTGTGTACAGTTCATCAATAGCTCAGGTAACATTTATATTTTTAATTCCTGACATTGTATTTTTTTTTAAAAAGGCGACCGCACCGATTTTTCATAAAAACCTAAGTTTCCGTTCTGGTGTTCGTGGATATTGCTTCTTTTATTTCTCTCAAGAAAGATTTCGTTATATGCTTTAAACTGTGATTTTCCTGTATCTCTCGAATCAGTTGCCGGAACCAACTAGTTTTCTCAAGATTAAACCGACTTGTCGCTGACAGGATTTGGTCCTACGATGGTACATAGCTATCCCTTACCTAGTTTACAATTCTTTTAAAGAACTATCATCTCTGTGTATGGGACAACACTTGGATTATCCCATGTTAAAAGATGTTAAAGATGACAAATGGACTTAAGTATAACTACCTGTAACAACTATCTTTGCCACAAAAACCTATTACATTCTTTTCAGGTGCAACCCATCACCTATAACAGAGAAGAATTAAAGAAAGCTTCAAGAAATATGGTTCATCCTAGAGATGGTACAAACACAACAGCTGGCATAGAGACAGCGATACAACTGTTTCAGAAAAACGGACGAAAAAACGTACCTTGGACATGCATCGTGATAACAGACGGTTTGAGTAAAAACCCACCTGCAACTGCTGAAATGGCTGCTGCTGCAAAAGCTGCTGGTAAAAAATCTTTATTTTATGATGATGATTATAATGATGACGATGACGAAGGAGACACTAACGAATGTGATAATTCTGTTGATGTTGATAACATTAATGATGATAATGAAACTAACAATTTCAATGGAAAAAATGGCAAACTCGTCAACATTCACCAAAGGTGTAATAATAAGCCAGAAATTATTCAGTAACTAGTTAAAAAAATCTTATTTTTTCCTTTCACCATGGATTTTTGAAAATTCTCTGCTTTCAGGTATAAACATGTTCGCCGTTGGCATATCAAGTTTTATAGAGCAGACCGAACTTGAAGCTATAGCCTCCAATCCTAAACAAGTGCTGATGTTGAAAACATTTGATCAACTGCGAATGTCCTTATCAAAACTAATGAAAGTGGTTTGCCGTAAGTTTTCACCTTGTCTTAGTCCAATTCGCTCCCTTGTATTACTAACGTTGATAAAAAGATAAAGGGACGTAACTGGAAAGGTATTTTAGAAATAACACATGTCTGTTTTGCGACGAGAATTCAAAATTTAGAATAGTCGTTGATTATTTTGTTTATAGTATGAAAGTACTCGTTAAAAAATCTTTGTGGTTCAAAGGAAACCCAATTCAATTATTAAATAACTTAAAATTTGATCCAGTTGAAAATAAAGTCCAGACACAGTAGCAATCTGAAGTGATGACTTGCAAAAATATTTTACCAGGTTATTGAACGCGGTTGCATTAATCAGTATATTAATGAATTAAATTATAAACAATCTTGCAATGTTGGTTATTGTAGAATACTAGATGAATTAAAATGACAGCCATTTATCATCTGAAATGATGACTTGGAATGATATAATATCTGGTTATTGAACCCGGTTGAATGTCTTCAGTGCATTAATGAATTATATACACTGCTTGACAGAAGTTGGTATGGTATAGATATAAATCATTGTATATTGCTTATATCATTTAAGATTTTATAAATATTAATATTTACATCTAGATAAATTGGTATAATTACAATATATGAACCATGAAATAAAACGTCAGTAGCGACTATTAAACGAATACGAATATGCCACATCATATGTTCACGAATAACAAAGTTTTGGTGGCATTTCCCCGTTCATTTTGACAATTACTCATTGAAGATCAGTTTAAAGAGAGCATGCAAATGAACGGCGTGGCAAATGTGTAAAAGCTATACATTAATCATGAAAATGAAGTTGTTTCATTTTGTCTGCAGACGGACAGAACAAAAGCAATTTTTATCCACATTCCTCACTTCTCAACAGATACACGATGATGCGAATGGATGAAAAGAAAACACCATTAAGTCTTACGCTACCGTGCCAGTTTGATAAACTACCTGGACATATTTCATATGCATGTGTATGTTTATTTCAGCATGTCCTCCACTGCCCCCATTACCATATGGTTTATTTGACAATGGCACCAGAAGTATTGGTAGTATTAGAATAGCGTCTTGTTTGGATGGGTACCAGCCGATGGGTGACCCTACAGTTGAATGCCTGAAAGATTCAACATGGTCCCCGTTGACTTTCTCCTGTTTAGGTATGTTCAATATGTTATCTAACTTTTACTTTAACGTCCAGTATTATTCAGTATTAGTACTTTATTTCAACTGTTCTATTGTTTCTATAATTATGAACGTATTACATGTAAAAGAAATGGTTCAGATTTACTTGAGAATTTTTTGTATTTATTTGAGGGACAATACTATATATATAATATTTGAGTTAATAATTTCAGAATGTCCACCACCCAAGAAGAAGTTTGGCAATGGTATGATTTCAAATGGTGCAAATACATTGAACAGTGTAAGAGAGTACATCTGCAAGACAGGGTATACAACACCTGAACCTATTTTGACAACGTGCTTACCAGGACCATCTGGCCCGGCGTGGACCGTTCCTTCTATAACTTGCAAAGGTAAGACCCAGTGTTTTTGATTTTATTTTTTAAATTTAAATACAGGACTTGTCCGATTAGGCACCGGGATTCTTACAGTAAGCTTAAGGTTGCGAACTTTATACTGTTTGGTTGATTAAATGTTGCCCTTGAGACGTTTGTATATACATTTTTGCAAAGAAGAGTCTTGAAATGTTGGCTCTGTTTGGACGAACAGGTGCAACGTCTTTTTGCATACAAGCAATATTTGATTTTCTATTTTGAACAGCCTGCCCGCCGCTACCACCAATAACTAACGGCTACATTGAAGCACCTGTAACTGACATCATGATTGGAACAGTGTTGGCATACCATTGTAACCCAAAATTCATCCAAACCGGTCCTATAGAAACAACATGCGTAGACAAGAAAGGAATTCCCTATTGGAAAAAACCCGTGCACAGCTGTATTGGTAAGTCAATACGTTACACTTCTTCTTTCTTTTATATGTCCGGTATTTTATTCGAAAAGAAACATTTGGTACCTCAAAATGTGTGCCGGACTCTATATATTAGGAATATGTCAAATATCAGTTTCTTAAAGTAGTATTGCAACAGAAACTATTGCAACTCGATTAACAACAATGAGCTCGACATTCTTTCCCTTTGTTGCGTAATGCCATTCAAATGACGTCCTTTTTGACGTCACTACTGAAAATTCCGACATTTTGTGAAAATGCAAAATGAAAGGTCTTTGCCGGTTGACCCGGAATCCCTTAATTTGTAATGTGTCTCTTCCCTATATAGGAACGATTGACAATATAATTTAAAGAAGATTTAATATATAAAACAAATATATTCTGAAATAAGTTGGGCAGTTTATAGTTTATTTAAATTATGTGTGCCTTATCGTTTTACAGCTTGCGGACCACCACCGTCAGTTCCATTTGCTGATGTTGATACAACCGGAGACACATTAGTTAACAGTGTAAGAGTATATACGTGCAAGTATGGCTTTCATCCTACCGGCCCAATCGAAGCAATCTGTATGGGAGATAAAGGCGCCACCTACTGGCAACTGACCAATCACACTTGCAGAGGTAAACAAAACTCTTCTCACTTAGATCGTTCTTACATATCTCCCGTTATGTTACTTAACAATGAGTGCTTTTAAAGTTAATACTTGTTTTCCTAAATGACGACAAAGTGTCGCACACCTTTTATACAACTTTAAATGATATGCAAAAAGGTAATTTAATTGAGAATTTTTGTATTTATAATTTTACGCTACATGCGCTGCCAAACAAATACAGTACGGCATATATATTTCGTATCACAATTTGGTTTCAGCTTGTGATAAACCACCTATGCTTGCAAACGCAGACTTGGTTCCAGGCGGTGATAGTCTGGTGGGTTCCGTGAGAACTTATCTTTGTAAAAAGGGCTTTCAAGAAACCGGAGTATTGGAGGCGGTCTGTACTGCCAATCATGGCGTCACATCCTGGGACGGTCCACACAATTTGTGTATTCGTAAGTATATAATAATCTTAACTAAAATAGACATTAGAAATGCCTTTATATGTTTATCATTTTTGATATCTAGCACTCTCTCAGTGTTTGCTTTGTGCATGTTCTTTATGAACTCTGAAAATTATGGTGGCTGATTTGTGCCATTCGTATTTTCGCCCGGCGACCCCGTCAACACAAATCAGCCACCATAGAAAATATAATTAGATTGACTTTGGCCAAAGAACTATGCTTTGCCTACATTGGTATTATTATTATTCGGTAAACTGACGTAATGATTGACGTAATTGCGGCATATTATTTATATACTCAACAAATGATAATTAAAAATAACCAAAATCAGACGGAAGGGACATTTACATTTTCAAAATGATGTCTCATAATTAATTTCATGTTCAACCGTATTGATATATTTCCAAAACTGATTTAATTTTACAAATGTCACTTGACTCTTATACTAAATAGGGAAATCAAAGGCTTCTTACTGTATTTTCAATACCTTCATTACCTACTGATTTGAATAATTATCGGCAACTTATTTTAATATTTGTACCGCATCTATTTAAATATTAGTTGGCATCCGGTACCAAACGCACTAATCAAAATATTCATTTGTAACACAAGGATTCAAACATTAATTTGAAACTGGTTAAACTATTTATTGGCATCTTAATCAAATATTTTCACCACAGCATGCGGTCCACCTCCACAAATACCGAACGCGATAATGGATCCAACTGGTGACAGTCTGTTAGGAAGTATAAGAACGTACAAGTGCATGAACAAATATATAGCAACTGGACCTATAGAGGTCGGCTGTATCCGAGGAACAGGTGGTCCTATTTGGACCTCACCAGAATTCCAGTGTATCAGTGAGTATCTAAATCCTATTTCTTTAATTTTATGACAGACGACAGAAATGACGTCAGTTCATTTCCGGTGAATCACTTCTTGTTCTTTTAGGGATTTTTGGTGGGGTAGGGGGAAGTAGTCGAAGGCTCTTATCTTTAAGAAAATAGCTGACAAAGTATCATTGTTTTGCAAAGAGAAAAAAATTATGTATTGAATAGCGTTGATGAGTGATTGCATGAACACACAATTCAACCGGAAGTGAATGAACTCGTATGGAAGGTATGGCGCTCGTAGAAATCTGTTGTTAAAACACTTGCTTTTAATTTGATTGAACATTGCTTTCTTAAAAAAAACAATTCATGATAAAAAAATTCTTTTCCAATTTAGCTTGCCCACCACCGCCTTCTATTCCATACACAAAACTTGTTCCAAAGGGAGATAACTTCGTAGGACACAAAAGAAAGTATCAATGCATCAAAGGATTTGTAACAGCTAAGCCCGGACCAATCGAAATCGAATGTATTGGAGAGTACCTGAACAACCGAGGTCGTGCCTTCTGGAGCCCACCGTCAAATGAATGCATAGGTAAATAATAGTCACGTTCGGCTAGATGTTTTAATTGTCAAAAGTTTTCTACATTTAATAAACTAATTTAAGAATTTCTCAATAAATAATTCAACTGTGGGGTCGGGCATGTTTATCATTTGCGCTACAATAAAAGACAATTTAACATAATTATGCGATCAAAATATGATTATCTCCCTTTAAATTGTTCGCTATTTAAAATGTTTGCTTGATTATAATTCCAAAAAATTCTAGCTTGCCCTGAACCTCCGCCGATGGATTTTGCTGACTTAGATGCGGGTGATTATACGGTCGGGTCAAAGAGGCGGTACAGATGTCATAAAGGTTTCTATGCAACCGGTCCAATAATAATAAAATGTCTCAAAACTGCGCAGTGGTCAACACCGGATCATTCCTGTACAGGTATGGCACTCTTAAATTTTCAGACTATTTTGACTATTGAATAAACTCTTGGGGCGACGCTATTTTGGTTGGCAGATGAAATATGTGAAAGAATGACCTTGACCTGAATAAGGTATTGTGCGCCATTATCGGTTTAAGTAAAATACCTGCATGAATCTATTTATTCCTATAGAGAACCCGAAGTGAAGTTCTCAAAGGGAGGTTACTCCTGATTTTATTTTATTGTCCTTTCTTACGTGGGTTGATTGATGGCCCATTAAATGATTGTTTGTAAAGTTGTTTTGTTTATACAGTTGTTTTTCCTTAACATTCTTAGTGCATATTATTAAAATTTTTGCTTTGAATAATAATTTCACGTAGTGAAAATGCGCAATAAGTTATTTTTTTGCCTATTACACTTCTCTTTTTTGCCCATTACACTTACGAATATGTTTTAATTTATTCATATAAGATTGATGTCAACCATTTTGCGCACTGATTTTATTGTTCGGTAAAGTACACGTCCATCCAACTTTCTTTGTGTTACATATCATAAAAGAAAGTGCGACATTATAAATAACAGTACTGGCACATTTCTTGCATCGCGTTTCATTTAAGGCCCGTAATGCCACAGAACCGCCTTTTATTTCTCAAAAGCTTTTTTTTTAATATCATGTTATAAGTTCCAAACAGTGAGTAATTAGTAAAGTAATATTATTTAATTATTTTGTATGGAAGTCAAAATACTACTTTATTTACATTTTCGCTACTTTTATGACAAATAATTACGTATTAAGCGCTACTTTATTTAAGTGAAAACCATCTAATGTTCTCCATGATAAAAGATGGTTTAAACGTTTTTAAATTTCATATTTTCCCTTTTTAGAGAATGCATTACTTTTCTTTTGTTTCTGAGGCATACTGTGCCTGTAAAGAATATTACATATTATTGCTGTATGTTTACTCTGTAGCTTGCGGACCAACGCCTGATGTACCGAACGCTGATGTTCAACCGGGCTTACACACTTTAGGAGCCAAGAGGACATATGTGTGTCACCATGGTCTTGTTCCAGATGGTCCACCAAAAATCAAATGTTTGAAAGGAGCAAAATGGAGTCCGGTCAATTTCAGCTGCGTCGGTAGGTATTATTTCGAATTTAAAGAAAATGTTAAAAATTACATTGAGGAAAATATGTTTACGTCACGACCAGAATTTCAATAGTTTATGAGTTCTTTCTATGTATTCCTTTTCAGATTTAGATATATGCATATGCGTTTACAATTTTATTTGTCAAATATGGTTCATTTACTTGTATGTTTTTAAAATGTGTAATCATTTTGTCCTTTTTGTAGTTGGACTTTTATATAATATTTTGAATATTTATACGGAAAGCAATGAAATATGATAAGAAAAACTTGTAAAAGTTTTACCAAATTTGTCAGAAAATCAGCACACTTTCACAATGTATGGGGTTAATAAGATGACGGAATTGAGAAACTCATAACAGTATATTAAACTGTAGTTTGTATTTGTTTTGTTTTTTTGTTTGTTGTTGTTGTTGTTTTTTGGGGGGGAGGAGATGGCAGAGTTTCCTTACCTTATATATGAACCATATTCTAGAAAGTTTCTATCGTTTGTACTATTTTTACTCGTTTTATAACCAAATTTCTTATTGCACTATTAGATTTCTATACCTTTAATTTAAACAGGTTGCAAAGAGCCCTATAAGGTTGACTTCGCCGTGTTGGAGCCCGGAAAAAATACAGTTGACGCTATCAGACGATACACTTGCTTGCCCGGTTACTATGCAACAGGACAAATAACTACCACGTGCGCTGTCCCGCCAAAATCTAAAATTCCGGATTGGTCAACTCCGGTTCACTTTTGTAAAGGTAAAAGTATTAAATCATAATATTTAAAAATCATTTATTGTTGAATAGTTCATGGTGTATTATATTCATGATGTATGGATATTTGATATCACCTGAAATTCAGATAACTCCTAATAAACCAATCTAAAATGAAAATCAGGCAGACTGATTCTCTCACAATCGAAAGAATATTCAAAAAGTAGACCGTCTTGTTATTCTCAGATATTTGTAGATATTACCGAATTTACAGTTCATGTAAATAAAGGGAGGTAATTAGAAATTCATTTTTCGATAAAGTCTAAGACAAATTGTTAGCGTAGATCATTTTGTTTATCTTAAATAAATTACATTGTTTTTTAAATTATTTGCATAAAAATATACCAGTGTTCATGCCGATGCAATCAATGACATTTCAATAGCAATTACGATATAGTAATGCTCGTAGTCTGACCCTTGGCTTGGGTTTACAGAGATATTTTTAAGGAAGATTTAGTTAATTGTGTTTATTTAATTTCAGACTGCGGGGATCCATACCCTGTGCTGAATGCTAAACCTTTGAAAGGACCACGTACCATTGGTTCTAAACAATTATATAAATGCAACAAAGGTAAAATAATTTTTATGACTTGGTTTTAAGTACCATAATTTTATAACCACTTTAATAGATCTGAATCTTCTCTTAATCATTTATTTTATTATGATTAATTTATTCTATTTTTATTTGTTTGCTGAATTTACTCTCCAAATGTAGCTGATTAAAAATCACATGGTCGTTTTCTTCTTCAAAGTCAAGCACATATCACACATTACAGGTTTTGTCCCGTCCGGACCCCCTGTGTCACATTGTATGCAAAATGGAGAATGGACGTTACCAGATTTCAAATGTATAAGTAAGTATAAAACCAAAACCGCAACTGTACTGAAATATTCCAACAACAAGTGCAGTCCTTGTGTCAGCGGTGTTTTAATTTCTAGTCGTAGTTTTGTTTGCTTTTAGAATTTAGTCTTTCTGTGTAGAGGTAACTGCGGCGTCCAGGAATTTAAAGGGTTGTCAAACGTGTGTAAAATGGAAGCTGTTTGGTTTTAACTTTCCAATATGACGCTCATAATTATTGATACATTTTCAACAATTTTACATTGTTGTACCTTGTTTTGTTAAATGTTCAAAGAATGTAAAGTATGGTTTGCAATTGAGGTATTTTCATTATAAAAGTAGCTGTTTTGTTCAACATGATTTCTTTTGTTTTATAAAATTACACATAAATGAAGTAAATAGAAACCAACTCGTATTCCGAAAGCATATACGTCAAACAGTCTCATTTTTTAATAAATTGATTGATGTGGACCTTCGAACATGAATCGTTTCCTGGGCGCCGTTTGTTTCCTCGGCAGCATGTTTTGTTTTTTAGAATTTGAATTTTTTATTGATCCTAATTGTGGTGTTCAATGTTTATTAAATTCCCCTTTTTTCTTGTATTCTGAAAACAGTCATCTATCAGTTATTCTACAAACTGTCTTTCAAAACTATAAACTGAATTTCTTTTCCTTTCCTTTTCTACTTTTCACTAAATACAGATCGTTAGCTTAGATAACACTTGCATGTTTGTCTTTTGTTGTCTTCTTAGATAGCTTTTGACTCAATTGTTTGCTGATCTTTAGGCCATGTCTGTTTAATACTTGCTGCATAGATTGCATAGATGTAGAAACTCTTGTGACTCACATTTGTGTCATGCTTATTACAAATGATGCGATAGCCAAATTTGCAAAAATAAAATAAGTAAAATAGGGGCGACGTTAATTGGCGCATTATTCCGCCAGCATGCGGCAATCCACCACCAGTTGAACATGCAGCTGTAGACAAGGTTGGCACTAATCAACTGTTCAGTGTGCGAGCCTACACGTGTATTACGGGATTCATTGCAACTGGACCTATTGAGGCGAAGTGCGTCGAAGACAAACCATATGGTGTGCCGTACTGGATCATGCTCACTGATAACAACTGTACAGGTAGGGCTGTCTCTTTACAGTTTGTTTGCGTCTTCTTTAAAATCTTTAAAATATTGGGTATTTCAAAATCATTTCCCTTTTGGCATTTATCAACGTTTTAAGAAGTAAACAAACATTACTAAAATACACGAAAGTACAAACTTATCTTTCTAAATAAAATAATGAATAGTATCAATTACATCGAATGTTTTCAGCTGTTCATAGTTGTTTGACTGGTGTATGTTTCTAAAATATTAAGATTTTGACCTAAGATTTCATTAGTTACATATTTATATTCTTACTCGTTTTTTTACAAAAAACGCCGGCGTTATAAAGTGCAACTTAAATTTTCTTATCATTTATAATAATAAAAATTTAGAAAATACTATGACCTCAATGAAAAACATGGTATATACAAAAGTCATGCTTAGACTTTGTTTCACATTATTAGTTCAGTCCAAAGTTACACAGATTGTGGTCTCCCACAAAATGTGTCAAATATATACAAAGACCATGCTTATCGCTTTGTTTCATATTATAAATCCAATTTGTTTTGCAGATTGCGGTCTCCCACCAAACGTATCCAATGCATATGCAAGTCTTGGACCGTCCACCATTGGATCAGAAAAGAAATATTCTTGCATTGACGGTTACGATATGAAGGGAATGGGTAAAATAAAATGCCTTTCAACAGGGCTATGGTCCGTGCCAGATTTTTCATGCATGGGTAAGATTTATGGCTCATGTCTTTTTCTGATTTGATTTAGACTAATAAATCAGTCATTATACATGTAAAATACTGAAAGAATCCCTTCATTCTGGCGCATCCCGTCCCTTATTAGTTAGCAATGGAATGATCAAATGCTACATTGGTCAAAGCTCAAGTAAATAAATGTTAACTTTATACAGGCTATTAATAATATAAGAAATACACTGTATTTATAGAGGCTTTGTAATGCTAGAGTTATACTTATAACTTTTGATTTGTATAGAAGACATGCAATCGAAACATTAAAGCTTTTAATCATACTTTGCGAATGCGTAACATATATATATTTGCTTTCTATTAAATAGTTCAGACCACAACCACAACCACGACTCCTGCACCAGTACCTAATGACCCATGTAAGTAATTCAGCTGTCTAAGTTTGTAATAACGAAACAATGTTTGAATGGTGTCTAAATGTAAAAGTTTACTTAGTACGATAGCATTTTGTGTTATTTGCTTTCTATTTAAAGTTTATTTAACTGTGTATTTTTGTAAAAGGTTTCGTCAAAGTAATTGCAATAATTTTTTGTTATAAAAGGTTATTTAGGTATTTATAAACAGTCCAAACTAGTATCAGTATAAAACACAGAAATTAAACCTAATACAATTAATGAACATGAATAACAAGTATAAAACCTAACAATTTCGCTTTTTTAAATATCATTTTGTAACATTTCAATCATTATTTCGTTAATTTTCTTATCTCACTAGCTGTTTGTGATAACTGCCGAATGGAAAATGGTGTTGGATTCATGAATCACCCTTATGACTGCAGCCAATTTGTCCAGTGTCACTTTAGTACAAGAGGAGGCATTCAAGCCTATTACAGATTTTGTCCATTTGGTCAATACTGGGACCAAGGAGATCTTACATGCAAGCCAGCCGATGACGTTGATTGTCCTCATGGTAAGGGACATAAATATGTTGTTATAAAATGCTTAGTCTAGTGCGTTGCTCGGATAAAAATTATCTTAAATCTAATAGGTTCATACAGTATAACGAATTTCCGATCATTAACATGCTTTGTGTCATGCAGGTGAAGTTACGAATTAGAAAAATGATGTAATCGCCTTTTGCGCATCCGTTTTAAATAGTTAGAAAAGGGTACATCACTTCGTCATAGATCTTGATGATCAGTATCAACTATGCGCTCTAGTATTCTTTTCGGAACCATGGAAATTTTGTTGTTCATTGATGTTTAACATTAAATTGTCGTATTAAATTTCTTTTGATTTGTCACCAAACGTGTTGATATTTTGATTTTCATGCTCAGCTATAACATCTGCGAAATCATCTTCAAATTTACCTTATTTGCTAAACACATTTTGTATCAAATATTTATCTATTCATTTTCATGATTTTTTAAAATTTATTTTGTGGAAGGATTCCTGAATACATTATCTCTTCAACAGGTCTATAATTTTCATTCTTTTCTTCAGAAAAATGCATGACACGAAATCTACATTCCTATAAACATTCTGACAGTAATAAATGTTGTGCCTACTGGGAATGTGTGAATGGGAAGTCCAAGGCCAAATGTTGTGGGGCTGGTTTCCGGTATATAAGTGGTAAAGGTTGTGAACCGGATGATAAATGTGACGACGAGTGTCCTTGGGAGGATATGTTCCCTAGTGAGTACAAAACCTTATGATTCTGTGTCATTAAAATGTGTAATTTTGTAAAAACTGGTGCAATGGAGGGACTGTTCCGACTGTTGTCTACGATCAGGTTTAATTAAATTGAAATTGGATCATTTTTAAAGTTGCCTTGTTTGCAACCATAAACGTTAAATAGTTTGTAAGATGGGCAGAACATCAGAGCTGGTAAATGAAATAATTATAGTAAGAGGCTCCGATGTTTACATTTTCTCTAACGCGTTTGGTGAAATAAAGACGACAGATCAGAGCTAATGATATAAATTAAATCTTAATTGTTCACGATAACGGTATTGTGTGCAAATGTATTTGTAATTATTTAATTTGTTATAATTAGACGAAAATGCTCATGAACTATTATATTCGTCATTTGCTTTCCATCTTAACTTTGTAATTTGTAATGCATACTGTCTAACAATCATGCTTCCACGTATGGCACAAGTACTTGCTCCTTTGGAAGCAGGTTTGAGAGTGACTTTGAAAAAGCTTTAAACTTTCACAACTATCGAGCTAAAATGAAAAATGTGTAAATTGACAATTATGCATTTTTTTGAAAAGGTTGTGACAAGAGACCGATGCACAACATGGCTTGGTACGAGCAATATGTAAGCAATGGCGCTTGGATCAAAATGCCGTGCGCTCCTGGAACAGCATTTAGTATCATTGATTGTGAATGCAGTCTGGCAACAGACATCATCCCTGGTTATGGTAATTAAATATTGTCAATTTTAGATTGATTATGATTTGAATTTTACACGGATATAACACAATTAATGCCATATACCGTCGGGCATGTTTGTAACAATTCTATTGTACAAAATTTGCAAAAATGCAAGTTTTTCCAATCTACTTATATAAACAGTAATAGGGGATAGAGGAATTTGAATCTTTAGTATACATACACAATACTTGAAGCTCTTTGTGTCATGTTTATTATACACTTTATTTTCTTCAAGAAAAAGGATTAGTGATTGTAATGAATTTGCTTGCAGTGTGTCGCCCTGAAGTTCACCTTAACTTTGACGATGACGACACTGATGATGACTCGGGCAGAAATGTATATATCTTGAACGACGGTGTAAGAGTGCATAGGGGTGCTGCATATTTTGACGGCAATTCTCGTCTGCTAATTAACAGATTCTCTAATACGGCATTCCATGGTGATTTAGTGATCAAGCTGAGATATAATGAAGATAGAGACGTACGTAATCAATTGATTTTCGTTGATTAATTGAAGTTCATCAATTAATTGATGTGCATTGATTAATTGAAATGCATTGAATAATTGAAATTTATTTTTATAAAGTTTTATATTTATTATAAGAAATATTTTCTCGTTAGATTTTTTCCTGGAAAACTAGAGCTTACAAGTTTTCAACATATCCTACGACTAGTGGTAGTTTGTAATCATATCAAGAACCAATTTTTCAATTTCATTTTTCTAATTCATTTAAGTAACAAACCATCAAATAGTGTTTTCATCCCAAATGATAATTGCGTCCCGAAATACTACTTATAATTTTTTTTACAGATTTTGTTAATACACATTTTCAGGGACCAACGGCCCATGCTTTACAAGCTTTGGTAACAAATGGCGATTGTGGCGATGACCCCTCTATAATTATTGCTAAGATGAAAGGCTATGTAATGTGTGGGGCTAAAACTCATAGGCCGAAATCTTTTGCTTTGCCAACTACCGTAAGTTATATAATCCACTATTTAGCGTATTTGAAACATACTATGATATCTATACGAAAGTAAGTTCTTTATAAAAGTCGCAAATGTTTTTATAATGTTTATTTAAACTTCGCTATAAATTCATGCTCAGTCACAGCTTTAAACACTAAACGGGGTTAAAAAGTCCTAATTGGATACCATTTTAAGTGCTTTCTTTTGAAACACGTATGTTTAAAGAAGTTGATTTACAAAACATAACATTTTCTCTTTTTGTAGTTATTTGCAATGTTCAAAACATGATAAATTTGAATTTACCTGTCTTTGAATTTTAAAGCATTTGAATAACATATAAAAATATTTATATGTTCTAGGAAAAGGAATGGAAAGAGGTCATTTACATTCACAATGAGAAGAAACTTGAAGGAAAAGTTTGTGGTGCTGCTTACAGCAAATGGTGTCAAGGTATGACTATTGTCACTCTAGATTTTATATTAAATGATTATCATAATAAAATCAAACATAAATGTATAGTTATCAACGTTTTCTTCCTAGTTTTTTTCTCCACCAGTTAAACTGGAAAGTCGCCGTATGTCCATTACAGTGTCAGTTTTACTTACTATCCAACAAAACAAACCAACCAGCGATGGAAACTACGTATTCTAAACAAAATCCTGATTACACATTACAAATACAATGTATGTATTTTCTAAATGATACATTTTCTAGAGAAACACTTACCTGTAATAGAATTTCTGTTATTACTCATAGGTCCAATCAAGTCAACTCATTGTGGTCTCCAAATAGGATATGGAACAAAACTCGCAAATTTCGTCGGATATATGGATGATGTAAGAATTTTTAAAGTTTTTATGATTTTGTTTTTAAGTTTATTTTTATTTTTCTGTTGTTTTATTATAATTTTATTTTTGTTATAATTTAAAAGTTATGATATACGTTTTCAGTTTAATAAAGGCTTATCATTCTGCTTCAATAGTATTAAAACAAATATTTGTTGTTTATCAACAAAACTAAAGAAAAGTCAAAATTAAATTTTAGTAGACTCTCTAACAAGGCTTTTAATAAAATAATTAGAAGTCATTTCAACATTTTTGATGTCATGCATCACTGAATAAATTTGAACAAATACATTGTAGGGAGTAACATTTTTGATGTATTGCATCATAGATGCAAACATATATTTTTAAATGTAATGGTATATGTGTTTGAAACGTTCCCAATAAAGTTTCGTTGCATGACTATTCTCTCATGCTCCATCCCGTATTATACCCCATATCTATATAATCTAAGGTGTAAAGAAGTGTATAATGTAGACAGTAAAACTGAAATTCGAGGTGCTTGCATAGAAAAACAAAAAATGCAAATTACCAAGTACTGCTTCAATACATTTTTTTCAGATATCTGTGTATCAGTGCAGACCACCGGAGAATATTCTCAACGTATATGGCGGTAGAAGGAGAGCGCAGGGATCCAGTCTGTCAATGAAAATCCATTAAGTTTTGTCTGTCGCCAATCATGCTATGCTCCAAAATGTTTTTAGAATAGTGACTGTGTTATTTCAACTAACTTACGCTAACAGATAACATATAGATGTTACTATACTCGTACAAACAAAGATTTACAAAACAAATTTACCATATAAGAATTGTTTGCATCTTCGCCCTGACTCTTTCGATTTTAATAGGAATTATTATTAATTAAATATATATCTTTTAAAATTTGATAGGACTATTTGTTTTACAAAATCATCAATAATTTAGCCTATGTGTTGAGAAAGCAAATTTATGTGAGTATGTTAGTAAATGTATTTTAAGATCTATGAAAAAAGATTAAAGGACGCTTTTAGTTTTAACTTTATTATAATATGTGCTTTGTACGCAGTTTAAATCCCCTGATAATAAGCTTTTAACCTTTTCATTCATATCATAGCTTTTTCAGTCCAAGCATTAAGTCAATTCTAAAGTGAATACAGGTAACATTCTTGCACTTACTAATGACAAAATATTCTTGCACTTTCTACGCCAAGACTTCTAAAGAATTATTCATGAAAGGCAAACAGCTTAATGCTCCTTGGAAAGCTTGCAAAAGTCGGAAGATAAAACATATTTACCACAAACTTATAATTATTGTCATTCGTTACCTGGATATTTTCAAACGTTATTATTATAACTGCGATTGTTGAGAGAATTTATGTGCATGTAATTGTAATCATAGCATATCATACAAGGTGAAATGTTTTGTAAATCTTTGTTTGACATACAGTTAGTAGATCCGAGCTCAAGAAACTCAAGAAGCTCAAGAAAAGCAAAAAGAAAAAAAACTTCAATCATCTATAGAACATACAAACCATATCATGTATGAATTTGCTTTGAATAAAATCACGTCCATTGACAACTAGTTTAATCATTTTCTAATATTTTCTTTTAAATCGCTGCATCAAAGGCTACCTTGAAATAACGATGTTTAAATGTTGAGTATTGTTTTGGTATAATGGGAAGTATAGTGTGTTTTGTATATGGTTAAGGTGCTAGATTTGTGAAGCTTCTCCTCTGTTAGTTTAATACTGCTAATTAATTTTGGATGATAGCTTTTTAGAAAAGGTAACTCTTATGTTATTCAATTTCCATTTTGTCTTCTTGTCTTCTTTTTGTTAATAAATAAGAATTGGTGTCTTTTAAATATTGATTTCAAAGCCATTCTTACATGTTAAAGATGTAAAAATTAGTCATAAACGCTTCGTATACTTAAATTTCCTAAATAAATATGGAGCCTTGTCTGACAATTTTTGATTTCATTATTACTTCAATTTTATGAATAAGATTTAAATGTTTTAACATATGATATTTCTTCTATTTTTAGAACCTAAACCTCCAACTCCACCGGAAGTAAAAATAATTTATAAATATGTCGAAGTGCCGATGAAGAAGCCTAAAATGCCACCTCCGAAACCAAAATATCCAAAGGATCAGAAGTATCCAAAGAATCCAAAACTGCCTATGCCCATGCCAATGCCGAAATACCCCAAACAACCAAAAATACCATTGATTGACTGGGGCAAACAAATACCAATGCAACCGAAAGATACTCCGCAATTCATGGATAAATTAAAGCCGCAATCCCCTTTCTATGGAAAAATGAAACCAATGGACCCACTAGCAGGAATAAATACTGGAAATCCTATGTTCAATGGAAATCCTCCAAATTATGGTGGCCCAAATGGGAATGGTTTCGGCTTACCAGATAATAAACTAAAAGGATATCCAGGAGTTGGCATGGATAACTCGAACACATTTGCAAATTTCTTCAATAGTTTCGGGAATGATGAACATCATCTAAACTCTTACAGTAGCCGAGGAAACGATGAGCCTCAGTCGGTAAGCTTAACGAGGAATCGATTATTACCAAGGAATTGTCTCCCTTATTTATTAAATCCTGCCAGAATGTCTAAATTAAATAAACACCTTTCTAAAGTTGGACTAGATAACTTTTTAAATGAGGCTGTCATCAGAGGGACTTGTTGAATAAACAAATTGATGTTTTCAGGGGGTGACATCCCCTGATATTTTATCATTTTTTTATTATTTTATAAAATTATATTGATATTGAAAAGTAATTTCATGATTCGGGTATTTGCAAAGGTTCTTTTATATAAAATCGTTTGTAATTTATTCCATTGTTCATTTCACGTCCGTCCATTAAAGCAAAACCAGTTTTGACACTTTAATGTTGCATTGTATATAAACTTGATATTGATATTCATTTCCATTACAATTTTGATGAACATTTACATCTATGATGCTTCAACCGAAAGATTTTAGAACCCATTTATTTGTTGATTTTTTTCGCTTTTGTTTTTGATTCTGTGTTGTTCTTTCACTATAGATATATATTTGATTTACATAGTTATATTCCTAAATTTCAGTCCGACCGGTATATATTCATTCAACACTCTGTGCTTTTGCTTTTTGCTTCGTGCATTACTTTTTGTCTTGTACTGGCGGATAGTCAAATATTTACATCATTATCAGCAAACAAAAAGATACATTTTAGTATTTTGTCTCCTATTTTACAATTGAATTCTTTTCATTTAGTAAAGAAGGTTTTATAACCTGGAGAAAAATGAATAAAACATTCTTCAAGTAAACGATAAGAGCTTTGCTCCTTCCTCTGTGAAAGGTTCAAACACGAATTTCAGAAACAATTTTCGTTCATAGTTTACCAAATTTGTGATAATTTTGTAAATATTTTTATAACTTTGATATAAGTCATCATATTCTTATAAGTGTTGTAATTATTCTGATTTAGTATATATAAAAGTTATATTAGTAGACAATCATTTGTAGATAATGTACATAGTGTATTATATTATTTTTCATTACCGGTATCAAGCTTGCATGCGTGTGTGTGTGTGTTTAAGTTTGTTTGTTAGTTTCTAGGATAGATTGCCTTTGCTGTTTTGTTTGCTATGGTAAAAGATTATAAGAGTCCAGATAATATATGTTCACTGCTTGTAATCATAGGAAAGAAAAAGAGAAAATTTAGTTTAAGGTCTAGATATAGAACTGGAATCATTTGGGTTACAGGATAATTGGGGATAAAGTATAGTTGGAACGGAAGAATGTATAGATAATATAGATGATATAAAATATTAAACAATTAACAACGATGAATTAAACATTGAACATCGCAAATTTTATTATTATCTGCTAATGTAAACTACCTTTATCACATGGCATTTCTTGTAATATAACTATTACATATTTATTCTTATCTATAAAAGCGGTTACAAGCCTTTTAATAGAAAATCGGCGCGACAAACGTCAATTTTGCCGTTTATTTTATAATATCATGTGATTAAAGGAATCTTTTATTCGTTATCATTTCAGATAGGCTTTTGAGTTATGACTAAAGTATGATTATATCTGCTGATTGCTTTGTATGTCTATTTAACTGTTTATCGTTTTGCTAAATCTCAAACATTGCGTCAAAACACAATATATGTTTCTTTCAGGTAAAGGGCTATTGGCAGAATGCATGGATGTCATAGGGGAAATGTATAAAGTAAAATTCGACACGAAAAATTACTGTGTTAAACCTATCATTACGGAAAATACTTTAAATGGACATCTGATACAGGGGTACTAGCTCTCATAGGAAACAACCATTAAGTGTGTTATTCAGAAACATTTCCGTAATTTTGCTTCGTAATGATGATTAAAGAACTGTTCAATACATTATTCTAGACGTAAAGATGATTTCTTCCTTGTAGAGTACTTTTTATTTTCGCAAAAACTGAACGTCTTTCTTTTCAAGGAGGGAATTCTTAAAAATGTATTAAAGCAAGGCAAACTATCAAAATTATTGTAAAAAATGGATTGTTGTTAAGTATTTTTTCCTTTCTCTTTTTCTTTCTTTCCAAAATGTTACTCTGTTCTCATTAAAAAGATAAATATATCTTAATTTAAAGAGGCATCAGTTTTTAAGCTTTATTGAACAAAAACAATCAGTAAAAAACAATCAGTCCTGGACAAAGAACCTGTCAATTTCTACAAAATCTTTTTTTTCTTTTGGCATAACTATAGCTTGTTAAAGCATACAGTATACTCGTATATACAATGTATAATAAATATAATAACGCCAAGCCAAACTGATAAATTGTAGCTAAAAATATATTTTACCCATTTGTATAACTTGTACCTGCAGCCATCTGTATAACTGATAGCATTACAAATAACTTGTAGCCAACCGAATAAAGCAATGAGAATAGAAACATTTTTTTAGATACAGAGCATTGAATTTTATGTTGTATTGTACCAACTGTCCTTGATCTGCATAATGTGTTGTTGCAATAGTCTTGAATGAATTTCCATTGTTTTATTTCTATCCTTTCTTCGTTTTTCAATTTTTATTTTGTGTTAGAAATATTGTGACAGTTGTAATATTTGTAAAAAATGACAAAAAGGCAGATTTTAAAGTGCCATCAATGTAATCATTCTTTTATTGAACAAATATCCATCATGTAACTATACTTTTATTAAATAAATACTATAAATTACCATCTTATATTGTGTTTGTTATTTATATATGTACAACAAAAAATAACACTTTTCCATTTGCGATTCCAACCGTAAATATCGTACGTTCACAAAAGCAAGAAATAGACAACAACATCGGCTTTTTAATTAATATGCATCCGATTCTCGGCATAACCCATACTTGACTGACACCTGTGCTTTGAGCTAAAATAATATTCCTTTGCACATTTCACATGTGTGTAACTGTCTATTTGTCGCATCACTTATCTGTGACGCACATGATAACGTAAAATATATTACATTTTCAACATTTTCAGAAGTCATAGAGAAAAAGGAATAGTGCAATTTGACGTTTGTCTCACAAGTCTACGAGCATAATCTCGAATTGCATTGCTGAGTATACATTCCTGATTTAAATATTTGTATCAGGCGAAGATGGCAATTCTTGAAATTTCTCTTGATATTGTCCTTTGATATTTTTGTTAATTAACACACAGTGAAGATTGAAATATTTCAATACTTGTTCTGACAAAGAAAACAAAATGTAACTCCATTTGACATTGAGTTTCTACATTAATTTGCTACTAATATATCGTATTCAAACAAACAAAGCTGATGAAAGTTGCATCAGAGTTTGTGCTGTTGACAAATACACTAACAGTGCAGTAACTACAATTTGTCATCACATGTAAGACTGTCTATAGTCCAAATCATGGTTCACATTAAAAAAGCCAATGTTATGATTATTAAATTCCTATAAATTACAGTTTATCACAGCAAGTAAGATGTCACCAAAAATCACGTGACATCTCAAATATTTCAAGGTCTTAGGGGCGTCCGTGGCCGAGTGGTTAAGGTCGTTGACTTCAAACCACTTGTCCCTCACCGCTGTGTGTTCGAATCCCGACAAGGACTTTGGATTCTTTCATGTGAGGAAGCTATCCAGCTAGCTTACGGAACGTCGGTGGTTCTACTCAGGTGCCCGTTCTGCCTGAAATAATGCACGGAAGGGTACCTGAGGTCTTCCTCCACCAGTAAAGCTGGAACGTCGCCAAATGACCTATACTGTGTCGGTGTGACGTAAACCCCAAACGAACAAAAACAAAAATTTCAAGGTCTTAAAATATTACAAGGAAAATCTATAGGCGTCATCATTTCCTCCAACACGACAAATATAAAAAATCATTGGTCCGGTTATCTAATGCCTTGAGTGTACGGTTTTTAATCTTTGCTCCCCTGACAAAATACGATCATGTTATTATCATGATATATTAAATGGTGTAAATGTTTATAAGCATGCTGACAGTTTATAAGAATTAAGTTGATGTGTCGAGTTCGTCCGAGTTAATTCAGATTACACAAATGCACTCCAATGAAGTCATAAATCTTCAAAGCTCATCAAGCGAGCTGGCATGTTCATGAATGACTTCTGTTTACTGCAAACGATGACACATACCAGCGAATCTCGTTGTAACAATAGGATTTCTTTTGACTCTGTCTAACATCACCTCATGTAGTGATGTCTTGACAAAATGAGACAGACATCTGTGAACAAAGTAAAATAATATTGAAAAATGAAAGTTCACGACAAAAAGGAAGGACACTATAACTGAAACACATGGCGGATTTGTAGCAGCACATGAAAATAAATGAGTTTCTGCAATATAGTCGAATAATATTCTAGACACAGAATTGAAGAAAATCCGCGGCAATGCAAAGGTTACTTATTAAAGCGACATTATGTTCATTTTTTCGTTGTCAAGTTTAGTTTAATTAGTAATTCTTTTTAAAGGTTGACTACTATAATGGTGGTTGGCCAATACTTGATAATGAAATATTTTTATCAATTTTGATACAATATGAAAACAACCTAAACCATAGAAATACTCGTCCATTTGTTTTTTTTTTAATTTGAACGTTACCGATACATTTTGAACAATATTAATAGACATATACATTGGCAAGGTGGATTGTTAATTATGTTATCTTAGTAAATTATACAATTGAATACAATTATGGCAAAATGGCAAGTAATTTGTTTTTCCTATTAACTTATAATTTATTCTTTGATGGACATAATGTCTCTTTTAATGCAATAACTTATAAAACTGACCTTGTCTATACAGCCTACAAAGCTTTCGTATTGTTTACCCCATCCAAGTTTAAGACCGCATCTACTTCTGTCAATATCGCCTGTAACAGACACAGAGTACATTTGTAACATATGACCAGTATTGATAAAAACAAAGATCAGTAATAAATGTTAAAAACATATAGAAACATGTTGTTATCTTTTTTCGTTTACATTGTGAAATTTGATTAAAAATATTCCCTTCCGATAGAAAAAATGGAAAAAGCGAATTTAAAAATTTGGTGGAAAATTTTTCAGTAAATTGTTCCCTTCCAATAAATAACAAAACATTTTTAATTCGTCAAAAAAAAAGGGAAATTTGAATTTTTTTAATTACTAAAAAAGGGGATTGAAAATTTTTTTAAATATCCCGTTTTTCAAATTTTACGAACCTAAAAACTATTTACGTGAGTACACTTCTCAGCTAGCAAACAGAATAAGTTACATAACCGCCAGGCTATTAAACTTATCTGGCTCATGCTGTGTTTGTATGACTGACAAAAATCAACTAAGTTTTCGAAATAACTATGGCACCTACCAAAAAACAACTTTTTCTCTGTTCTCCCATCAATCGTCATTGTCATCATATCATTTCGCAGAGAAAAACTTCCCGATATCCATTTATCAACCTGAAAAAAATAACAAAGAAAAGTCATGATATAAAATGCATGATAAAGGTTTTGGTTTTGTCATTTGTTTTTTTTTTCCTTTATTTTTGTTGTTTTTTTTCTTTCTTTTTTTTTTTAAATAATTTACACTTAGATTCAATTTTTATCCAACGTATTTTCATTTAAATTTGTCAATAATTTTATGCAATTTACTGTGCACAACACCTATTTTATATCGAAATTTTTCAATTGAAATTATACGGCATTTTTTTTTTAAATTTCCTTTAAAAGGGGAATTCAATGATTCGTCCCTTTTTCATCTTTGTTACGTAAGTAACCCTATTTTTTTCTTTTGCTATAGAACAACAAAGAAGGTCCATTCCCCAATCCCCCTTAACAACTTTGTAAATCGTTTCCTATTAACCGGTCAATGATTTTAAAACTTTAAATTTTATTTAAGAGTCTTGCCCAATTTTGCATTTTTCAATCGTGGAAAAAAACAACGGCGCCGTCACCCTGGGAAACAGAGCGCCTTGCTATAGTTTGTTTTAATCCCTTTACATGTATTTTCCCTATACATCTTTTTCTTTTTGGGTTTAAAAGAAAAACAAGTTCCTTTTTCAGCTGTAAAAACAAAAACTTTAGTGTATAGGTTTTAATCAATGTGTCATAAAACATATATAAGTTTTTGTAAAAAAAATTTTTATTTAATTTTTTTACTTTATATTATGGGTATGTTTCAATATTTGTCTTTTGTAAAATCATGTACACAAATTAAAAGATGTGAACAAAAGAGCCACAGTCCACAAACTTTTTGAACTACCCTGGTATATTCTAAAAGTAATTAGATAATGTTATCCTTTTTTAACGAAACAGTTGTTTTTTCTAAAATAAAGACAAAATAAAAAAACAAAGCAAGGATATAAATTGCTGAACAGTCACTTCACTTAAAACAGTCAGACTGAGCTTATATAACAATAACAATACTTTTTGCTTAAACAAATTATAAACATCACGTGTTTTAAAACTTATATCATTATCTAACAAATCTCAAATTACCTTGGCTTTTATATACAACGGTTTGGTCAGTTTGGCAGTCGCATGTATCAGGATTAAAGACCGTTCCGCCCGCACAATCCATGTCTATCACTCCATGTCCTTCTATAGTTTGTCGAAATTTCCTAGGATTGCCTGGCACAGCTTTCTTGATACAACCTGAAAAAGAAATAAAATAGATAATGAAAAAGAAATAAAAAAGATATGTTTACTAGTTCAACCAATTGTCTTCTTTGGATATTCGAAGTGTTGCTTTCTATCAAACACTCTAAAGGAACTCCACTGAGGTACAAAAACCTAAAAATATTAATTTTTAATTTCTTACATAGATCAGCTGGGGCATTTCAGACAGAAAGGTATGCAAAGGATAATAAAGAAATAGACTCGAAAATACATTGAAATTGTATTGCATTTTTGTGCTTTTCTCAATCCAATTTGAGGGCAAAGCGTTGTAATGCTTTTCAATTTTGTACCATTTTTTACAATTAGAATAATTATTCTGAAAAAAAAAAGAGTGAGCATTTTGCACACAAGCTGTTGATCTAGACCTACATCAAATTAAACAATAATTTTAAAACAATTACATCCAGTCCCGTAATGTCAAGTACATGCCTCTTAAACTTGCAACCATTACAGGTAGCAACTTCAAAGTTTTTAATTGTCACCTAATTGCAAGTGTGCTATTTTATGCTGACAATTAGAGTTGTTCGAAGTCATTTATCCAAGCTCTTAAACTTTGTCCGTGACTAATAAATGTAATATAAAACCAACATTAAGCTTTATTTCAAGTTTAGTTTAAATTCGTTTGTCTGTCCGTTCATTTATTCATTTTAAACGTTCGCATACCTGTTTCTTTTATAAGGACAAGATAAGTTATAGAGTAAAAATACATCTAAAAAATATCTTTCATGAACACCCTATAAAATTAAAAACATTCATATCTGCAAATGTAATCTCAGTTAATTTTCACGTACCGGGGCTTTACAAGGTAAAGGATTTCTTTTCACGACTATCTTAAAGTTTACATCGTATAATAAATAATATCAATTCATATTTTGACATAGGTCGCGAATATAAGTTGACGGTAATCAGGTCGTAAAGTTTTAACTGGTCATAGATCACCCATAATTTGTGACTGTAAAGGGAAATAACATAACATGCCCTAAATGTCAGATAATATTGTTTGAATTATTTCTGAGTCATATTTAAGTGTTGAAACATATGTATTTATTCAAATTTTCAATATTACTGTCTTTTTGTATTAACTAAAAACTAACAATATAACTCTTAACATTTGAAGATATCTTTTAAAAAGTCGTAAAATGCGTCCTCATGCCATTAATGTTACAATTATAAATTTGATGACATGCTTTTTCCAAAAGTACAAAAAATAGGGAAAAATTAATGTCGAACATGAAAATGGACACACTATTGCGGAAACACGGAAACATCAAAAGGTCATGTAAAGCAATTTGTTGAGTGAAAAAAATGTAATATTTGTAAAATCAGCAGTTTTTTTATGAAAGGTTAAAACGTTATTCGACTAGTAAAACCGTCGTTGTTTTTTTTTCTTTAAATATTTAAAATTAGTCTACATGTGCTCTAATTTTAAAGTTATCTTTCCTTATATTATAATTATTTTTCTTTCTTGTTACAATCTGCTAAAAGACAAAATTTATTTGCATTATAAATGCAGCTCTTGGCTTGTCTGAATAATTACTTGTCTGTAAATACGAAGGTATTACATAGACGGTTTGAATGTTTTTCATTTATTGAAAAAATCAAAACATATTTTACATTTGGGACGATAAGTGCTTGCACTTGACTCGTCCGGCAGTAGTACATATGTATTGGTTTCTCGGGTATAGAACATTAATTTTTTTCCCTGATTTAGTAATACCTCAGTTGTACAGTTTTTAATTTGGATGTATCCCTTAGTAAAAGAAGGGGTTTTCAGTATTAAAGACTCGTTAGTAATGCTTCTTTTGTTAATCCTCAAAAGTGTGTCCTGTTATATATATTCCCAAACGTTACTCACTTGCCAATTACATTAACCATCTTTTGTTTCTGTTTATTTTCTGTACAGTTTAGTACTGTTATAGTGATTTAGTAGCTTATATTGAAGTCAAAATGCCTTTCTTTTACATCAAAGATATTTTCACATTCAACGCTATTTTCTTCAGATGATAAGTATCTTGAACCATGCTCTAACACCATAATTTAAACGTTATACTCCTAAAGAGGAAGAAAGTTATTCGTTTTTAAAGTCATTTATACCTTTCATTTTATATCAATTATAAAATGCAAATTTTAAACGTGCTGACTTTTAAAACATACAAAATAACAAATGTTTAAAAAATCTTAAAATAAATTGCAAGCTTGACATTTGGTTTTCTGTTAGTTTAGTCACTACGAATTCGGATTATTTTAAAAATGCTGTTATGCTAATTAAAGTGTCTATTGCTGCACCTGGGGAACTAAGCAACACATATTCTGAATTTGACGAATTGATGATGGATCTTGTCTTGATATTCATAAAAGGTTCATTGCATAACGTCAAACATTTTCAGATAAATATTTGACCCGTGTGCATTTTGAAACCAACCCTGATAAGAATGTTGTTACTGTAGGTGAAATTATGCATGTATAGTTTAAAGTCACATTTTATTTGAAAGATGACATCGTATTTACGTATAAACAATCTGTTAAAATAAAACGAAATTAATTCTATAAAAATGGAATCTTTTTTTTAAAGTACTCGTATAAGTGACTCGTATAAGTGACATTTTCTAAAAAATTATTAGACATACCCCGATTAGTGCCAAAACTGACAATCAAATCAACAAGAATGGCTGATAGCGAACTCACAAAATTAAAGTACCTATTAAACATTTCAGTGTTATTGTAACTAAGTAAGATTCTTTTAACAAATTATTTGTTTCTCTTTAAATAGAATTAACAGAAGAAAAGTAGATCTTTCAGTGTCTGGTACTTTGACGTTTCATTATTAATTAAAAGAATGTTTAAATTGCTTTTATAAAAAGATAATATTCAAGATTAGTTTTCCATGCAAATTTAACAAACATTGTACTTATCGTTATCAAAATGACTTACTTAAAAGGAAATGTCACAACTTGGGGCTAACAAATTGTTTTCCATCTCTAGTAAAAGCAAACGGCTCAAATTTATTTCAGTTCATACCTCTAGGTCTAGACTAGTGTACGCTTTTATATATTTATTGTCAATGACAGTATCCACCAAACATATCAAATGAACCGATATTTTTATTACTAATATCACAAGGACGCCATATCACATACATGATAATAGAAAAAACCTGTACATCTCCATGTAGTACTGAATTTTTATAATTGGTAATCGGAAAAGCCCGATCTTTTAAAAACGCATAACTTATCAAAATGGATGTGTCGCGATAGTAATAAAGATAAAGATGAGATTACTTTTACCTTCGTTTAACTGAACTTAAAGATACACGGAAATGTCAGAACAGTTTTTCAATTAGATGGAATGAATTCGGAATCCGGTATTATTGATATTTGATACACCTGCGTAATGTTAAGTTGTGATGAACTTTGATGTGGCATTTTGTGGGGCGACTTTAATGTTAATTATTTTTTTGTATTGTAGTAAAGAATAAAATTAAAACAACTTTATTATCATACGCAATGCATCTTATTCATGCAAACAGGAAACAGAATTTGACAACATACATTCAAAACTTAAAAGATAAGTTACTATAAACTTGCACTTCTTTCAAAAGCTCATATAAACATGCATATCATTGAAGAAAGAATGGGAACAAATTTTAGAATAATTAGGAACATCATTTGAAAATTGGAAAAAAATGTAAAAATATACATTTGAAAATAACGTAGCAGTGCTTATTATTGCTTGCTTATTCATAATGAAAAAGTCATCAGTACCATTTTTTGTACATCCACAAATATATTTAAATTTCTTATTAAATCTAAACGAAAGTATGTTTCTCTATGTTTTCTATAACATTTTCATGAAAAGTTTCTTGCTGATCTATTTATATCACAGTTTTTCTTTATTATATAACTTTAACAAAAATGTTTTGGATTTTATATTTAACTTTAGTCCTCAAATGCAATGTATGGGGAAGAACACCTCTTTATGTTCCCTTTGATATATTTTGTCAAGCTACAATACTCTACAATTCTGTGTATTTACGAATGATTTTAACGTGGACGAGCAAAGTTTTTCAAAAAAAAAACTTGGGGTCATGAGTTTACAATCGGTTTGATTAATCCTCACATGCAACCCACAAGGACGATCACTCCAAAAATTAAAAATAATTTTTTAAGGTTTTCAAAGGAATAATGCAAGGTGGCGATTCATTACTCTAGGTATTTTCTAATTTTTCCAAATCTATACTTCAGCCTTGAACGGTCGTAAAAAAGATTGATTTTAGAAACTGAAGGACAAATAGTGCAATTCCTGGCATTATTATGGAACAATGCTATAAGTAAAATTAGATGGCACAAAGATACCGCAAATTCCTGCGAAATTAGAAATTCTACATCTTTGCATGCCTTGTAGAAAAGCCATCAGTTAAGTCAAATACAAATACTTATATTTTAACATAACAAAACAAATATGCCAATGATTTAAAAAGTAACAAAACAATCGCTAGAACCAAAATAAATCATAAAAAATGAAAAAGTAAAAGATTAAAATTCAGTGATGTGTGGGATATGTCTATAACTGTCAGCAAACGACTAAATGTCATTTAATGATACTGGTTCGTGTATCAATAGTGTGCTTAATTCAGCTTAATATTCTCAAAAATTAAAATAGATCTATGTAAATACACTATAAGACGGTATCCGGTATTCTTACGGGCTGGTGTTATATGAAGCTAATGAATAATATTGTCACACAGTTAATATACATCAAAATAAAAGAAACTAAATTACAAGGAAGACTCTTTGTAAAAAACTACAAAAATTTAACTATTTGGCTGAGAAAAATTCATATCAATCAGGGGAGGTAATGAATAGAAAACTGTCAGTCCAAACGACGGCTATGTAACCACACTTACATTTAAAAAGATATATCATATTATTTAATATCGCAATATTATTATAATTAAAAAAATTCTAATTTGTCTTGGATGTTACTTTTGTCTGTTTATACTTATTCCCAAATTTCTCCTTATTTGTTTATAAATCCTATCATTTCTTTGTGATAACTACATTGATGTTACGATGATTTAACTTTCAATTACAAAAATGTGATTGATATTTTGTGCTTTCATAGGTCATGCAATAACAGATATCAAGAGCAAGATTGACAAAATGAATCTGTTCTTAGTGCCACCCTTATAATATAATGTTAATTCACATGGCTGTATTAGTACAAAGAAATTGTAAATCATTCTTTATGTATGTTCAATATATAATAACCTAATGATCTAACATTTTATGTTGAGATAAATAAATCTTTACACTAAGATACAACAAAAGCTCTTTCTGCTGTCCCTGCCGTTACTACTAATACTATTGCTGCTGCTGCAGCTACTACTTCTGCTACTACTGGCTCTAGTGCTACTGCTGCTACTGCTGCTGCTGACGCCGCCGCCACCGCCGCCGCCACTGCCACTTCCACCACCACCACCACCACCACCACCACCACCACTACTACCACTACCACTACCACTACCACTACTACTACTACTACTACTACTACTACTTCTACTACTTCTTCTTATATTACTTAGAATGATGATGATAAAAATGATGACGTAGATGATGATAGCGCCGACGACGACTGCATAATTGTACCGAATTACATCATTTACGAAGCAAACATAAGCAAAAACATGCCTGTCTAAAACCATAAGGTTTATTTTGTTACAAGAGAGATGTAAATTGCATAATAAAACGGTCGGCAGGACACTTAACTTGCCATTAAGACGGGACTTAACGCAAAGGTGCGATTCACATATGCTGTGTGTTTGCTGTTGCAACGGAACACCTGTTACGAACATGAAAATAAAACATAAGGAAAACGTAAGAAAAAATCTATTTTTAGCACAAGTGTCATACGTAATGACATCGGCTGACCAAGCATGCGCACTAACTCATAATTTAGAAATCTGAACCAAAGGATTGTGCAGCTTTGAAGTGTGAGAGATTTATATTTGTAATCATTCATTTCGTCTCATCACTGATGACTGGCCGTCAAGTGTGACATCGTTCTTGACGTGGCGTGTCACTTATTTTAATTAACATCTTGAAAAAAGTTGTTTGACATCTAATTAAAATGCGAAATACACGTTTTACTGTAATAACGATTATATTAAACAAATTGTCTCAGGTATTTTGATGTGGTTTTAAAAGGATTAAATTTAATACGATATTATTGTTTTGAATTTAAATGACCGAAACTCGCATAGCCCTTATTAAAAAATACATATTTGCATTTTGAAAGGGAAGATATTTGATTTGTTTTTCATTTAAACCTTAGCGGGATTTCCATCAATCTCGAGACCGCTTCATGGAACTAAACAGTACTGATTGCAATTGAAAATAAATGGGCGTGGCACAAGTAGGTTAAAACATAAGACCCCTGGATTGAGAGGCACGCAATTTCTCAAGTTCATAATCATATGAAAATTGTTTTATTTCATAATACTTTCTACATTTTCTATTTTAACTGAATATTTATTTAATACAAAATATTTTTATGTAATAAAATAGGCTTTAAAATAATATTCAATTTGAATTACAGGATGAGGAAACGTACATTTACCAATAATTAAAAAAACTATATAAGTAACTGTTCAAATGAACGCTTACTTTTGAGTACAAATAAAATGTAAATGAAAATTGCAAAGGCCAAGTATTGAAAAATAAAAAAGATCAATATTATCAAAATTTAATATTCAACTGTTTCGGTAAAATACATTAGAAATGTTAAGACGGGATAATTAGGGACAAAGAAACTGACGCGACAGGTCGATGATGAACCTTACTGACAGAATGGTATAATTTTAAAGGCTTACATATAAGAGTTTTTCTTTGTATACACACAAGGTCAAAGTTCTCTTTCACTTTCCACTATTCAAACTTGTAAGTAGGAAATGACTTGTCACGGAATGTTATGAACAAATAGCTTTTCGTGCGAAATGGTCAAAGTTATTCATAATTCGTGAAGATATTCTCCTTCAGACAAAACTTACGTGATGAATTGTTTTATGATTTAAAGTATTATTTTACTTGGGGAGAAATATGCTTGACTGTAGATAAAAACTATATTTCATTTTGCAAAATAAGCAGGTAGGTGCATTAGAATAGATAAACACGTTTGTTATATAGATGTACTTTTAAAATGCAATAATGAGAAAAATTGATAAAATAAAATTTGTTTTTTCATTTTCGGTACTTTCACTGTAAAAAGTTATTTTTCAATGCAGTGACACATATGATTACTTCCTTCCTAATTCAGCCAATACAAAAAAATAAGGAGAAGTCAAATTTTAAGGTAAAAAGAGAAAAAGTAATAAAAAGAAAATTCAAGTTTTTTTCTATAAATACGGGATTTATTTTCATTTTGTGACATGAAAATTGATATATTTTACTCGTGGCTGTCGCCAATCGTGAAATATTTATTTTCATACCACTCCATGAAAAATAACTTGTGTTTTTATAGGAAAAACTTGAATATTCTCTAAGTATAGGAGATTTTTTGTATACATTTATAAGATGAATTATATTATTTTTTATTGTTATTCTTGATAAAGTAAACTGAAAGGATAATTACTTCTATTACGTATTACATAACATTATAAAATAAATATATAGATTTTTGTAAAATGTATTTTTTTTTAAAAATATGTGCTTGTGAATTTATATGCTGCAGAGTAGTATTAGTTAATACAAGTTTGTTCGAAATGTTGACCAAAAAATTGCTGAAATTCATACGACATGATGTGTTGGACAAATGCAGGAAAATTAAATTCTAGTTCGTCATTTTTATCATTTTATTATTATTTTATTTATTTATTTATTTATTTATTTATTTATTTATTTATTTAGTGTAAACAAATATTAGTAAATCGTGGAGGAAAAAGCTTTAGATGCCCAAAGTTGTAAGCTTCTACCTAAATTCCCCACTTTTTATTTACAAATAACGAAATTAAATGTACCTATTTCAATAACTGGTAGCCCGCAATTCGATTTACATGATGGATTTCGAAGACATCCGACTCCTTCAACGTAACCTTGACCTCTTGGACAGCAACGACCTATTGACACACCATTTTCACATTTCCAGTATGCTCGGCAGTCTCCATGGTAATTGTACGTGTACCAATTACCCATTGCACGACATTTATCTGTTAATTATGTCAATTTTACAAGTTGATCATTCATTTAAATACCATAAATTATATCCTATTTTCAATATCTTTAATGGCTCATGCATAATAGGGACCTTAGTGATTTTATACAATTGCACAGGCTGATCCATTCAAAGAAATTAGCTCTACTTTTCTAAAAAAATAAGAAAGAAAAAAAGGTTAAAACATTGTTCCATAATAGAAGAATAATCCCAAAGTATCAAACACTTACTTAAGTCTATGCGATAATTAATTTTACCCCCGCTTTGAAGACTGTCCTTAAAGGTATATAACTGACCTATGTTGTAACAGTTCCTTATAGTGCCCATTGGGTGAGGGCTGGCGGGGAAGGTCATACCTTAATTAGATTGATTTAATACGAAAAACAAATCAATTTGATTATAAATGTACCTGCTGGGCACGGTACATCTGTTGACAATCGACATGTTAGCAAAGACTGGTCCCAGTATTCGCCAACGCCACATCCTCGAACATCTGCCTTCATGCTACCCTGGACACCACTAGGTGAACACATGACATACTTGTCACAGTCCCTCTCGTGACTCTTGTATCCAACACCACCATCAAATCTACAGCCCGAACATATTGCTGAAAGAAAGACGACACATTTTCAAACAATCTAGTTATAATTTCTGCTACTTTCAGACATATGCCATGGGGGTGAAATCTTGTTTATAGAATTGAACATTATGATATCTAAATCCATACATTTTTCAAAGACCTCGTTATAAACAATTTTACGTTCAAAAATAAGGAAAACCAAGACCGTATAAAATCGCGTAAACTCAAATATGCTAAGGCAGTGTTATAAAGGCAATTTTCCGTTCTTTTAAGCATGTATGAAATAATCTCTTAATGTTTGCATTTATTAATTAATAACAGGATAACAGCTTTACATAGAAAAATTTTGTTTTGAAACAAGGAATATAGTGGAATGAAAAAAGTCTAACAATAGCCATGTAATCTCGGTGAAAGAACTTAAGCAAAAGTAAATAGCAGTATTGGGAAAAGATGGTTTGTTGGATTTTAAGTCACATCGACGATGTATAGCATGCAACGATTTTCCAGCTCTACTGTTTGAGGAAGACCTCACGTGCCCCTTCGTGAATTATTTATGGTACGAGTGGGCACCTGAATAGAACTACTGACCTTCCTTAGCTAGCTGGATAGTTTCCTTACACAAAAGAATCCAATGTTCCTCTTGAGATTCGAACCCCAATAAGGGAAAAATATTATAAAGTTGATGACATTAAACCCCAGTCACACTAGAGCTTACGATTACTTGCGACTACCGGCGACGTGTAAAACCGACGATCATCGTGATCGTCTTCGACCAAGCCCTCTTTGAGCAGATAAATTTACGTCTGCGATTATCGTACGACCAATCATCATTGACAATCGTACGACAGGTCATCAGCAAACGTACGATGGTCTCAAGATTGCCTGGGATTACTTACTACTACCCGTGACCTGTCATGCGATCACCTACAACTTGTCGTACGACAATCACACGATTACTAGAGACTACTCAAGATTATCAGTGACTAGTGGCAATTTGTAAAGACTGTCGTTAGATTGTCGCACTTTCGAGCGACGATCGTGCGACAGCCGAAGACCTTATAAGATCACTAGCAACCTGTTTGATCGCAGAGAGTTTTTTGTGCAAGCTCAAAAACCTCTCTACGACTGAAATTGGTCGTGGGACCTAAATAAGATAACCTGCGACTATAGAAGATCATCGATGACCGTCGTAAGACCTTACTGGTCGTAAACTCTAACGTGACTGGGGCTTTAACCACTCGGCCACCGAGGACCCCATATGTTAAAACTGAATATTATTGATAACATATAGAATAATATTAGTCCATTAACTATAAGTTCTTATTATATACAAGATGCATGCAAAACAAAACTAAATAGACATATTAAAGTGAATTGGTCTATGATTGGCACACTTTCAGTAAGAACTCACATTTACCAACAGCACCCATATTTGATTATTTCGTTGTTTGCCTTTACATATAATACTAGATACTATCAACATATATTTTTATAGTACTGCATACTTTGCACTATAGACCTATTCACTTTAAATTGATATATTAATAATATATTGTAACAAAATGTACATAAAACAGTTTGTTAATTAACCAAACATTGAAAAGATATATACAAATTTTAATATGCAAAACAAAAGCAGCAATACATTTTTGTCCTATATAGTATATCTAATCGTATAAATTTAATATACTTTTGTCCCACTTTTGACACGAGGACATATGAAGGGAACTAAGTGCAAGTTTTAATGTTACATATTTTCAGAAGAAAAACATTCAAGCATGTACGACAAATTTATTACCCCATGTCTTTCAAAAAAACTAAAATAAAATAATGATTTGCATATCTTGAACAAAAGCACTAGTTAAAAAAGTTTTAAGTGAGTAAATTAAAAAATATCTTAATTTCAAATTAGACATATTTCCATAATTTGTAACACAATAACCTCAAGATATAGAAATAAATCAAATTATTTATCGTACACTTTCTATATAAGAAATACCGCTATTAAGAACAATTAACCGGAAGTAATTAGTTCAGCGTGTAATTAATCCTTACCGCGCTAAAAATCTTGAACTTCAATCTGGACAAAACAATTTAATTTTAGGGAACATTTCTAAATATAAAAATACTGACAGAAAAGCGAACAGTCTAGACCAAGATAAGACTGCACAAATTTCTCTGGAAATAAATGAACCAAACCAAATAGTTGAAAATCGCACATTCTGTTTTATTGACAATAAAGGTGCACCCCCCCCTAGCACCGGTTTCTTCGGTGGCCAATGCTCAAGACTAAAAGAACTGGAATCAATGACCCGGAAGGGGCAGAAAATTATATCATCACTGGTAGAAGGTAGAATATATTGCAAAATATCGGGTTCTATGGATAATCTAACCTAGATCAATGCTAATGATAAGCCAGGCCGAACCTTTGACTTTAATTAATATAAAAAACATCAAGTTATCATGTTTGTAAATTCGCGACACTTTGTATCGAATAACAACTGAAAAGGCAACTGAAAAAGAAACGTAATATATAGATATAAGTTTAGTAAAGGATGCTCAACCAGATATTGTTCTTGTCTACTTGTTAGAAAACAATAATTTGTATACACATTTACATTCTTGTTGGAGCATACAAATACAAACATTTATAAGCGAAACACTGGCTCCCGAAGACGCTTACAAGACATATACGAGTACATGTATATGCTGGCGTCATATAGGTGACGTCTTCTTACATTTTATTGACAATGATCCTGACTCTACCACCACTTCCTCTTCCCGAACAACCGAGTTTCTTATCAAAGCTACTGGCGTAGTGGTCGGCGCCTTTGTCCTTCTTGGTATCAACTTGTCAAAACTAAATAAGAATCTAACAATGCCCCGACCTTCCGGCTTCTCTGTTGTGGTTGTGGTTAGTTTTGGTGTGGATGGCTTAACAGTTCTCATAATTGTTGTTGCTGTAGTTGTTTCTGTCGGTGCAAATGTTACAACTCTGGTTGTTGGAACAGTTGTTGTTGTTGTAGTTGTTGTTGTTCTTTTTGGTGTTGGTTTTGGGAATGTAGGTGGCGGTCGTGGTTTAGGGGTTTCGAAGAATAGTAGTATTTCTGTTTCCAATGATAATTATTCAAATGTAACAGTGCTTCTTTTAATGTCATACATTCAATCAACTTATGGCTTAAGTTGTTTCTAGTATATGATTTATGAATGAGTATAGATATATAAATAACATATGAGGTAAAATCAGAACAGACAAAAATTTTAATTCAAAATATATTCTGAAAAAATGACTGAAACAGAATCAATTTACTTGTTGTTATCATCAAATGAATGCATTTACAAATGTGATAAACTAGAGCGCTTGTTTGCGTTCTCCTTAATATGTAATTGTGTTGTACACTATTTTTTGCTTACTGTATCAAAACCAAATGATATAAAAATGCCATGTCAAAACATTTTTGTATCAGTCAGAACTATGTACTATGGTGGCTTATTTGTGTCTAGTCGTATTTTTGCGGGCGCCGAACAAAAATACGACAACGTCAATATTGTACTTTGGCTCCGCGCGAGGCGCTAGGCAAAAACACGATAATTATGCAACAAAGTCAACATTTTATCATACTTTCGCTTTGCGAGGTCCAATGCGAAAATACGATTATACAATAAGGTCGCCATTCTGTTTTTCAACAAATCAGTCACCATAATGTACGTTATGTCATCTTTGCGACATTTATATGATAGCAGTAACGTATTACCCGGGTAAGATTTTGCAGAGTCCATTACACTAACACAACTTTATCATAATAAAATACTTCCAAAATGTAATGATATTGAAACAGCTTTTTAACTATTTCATTTGTTAATTTAACTTGATGTAAATAAATTAAACATACCTCGGACTGGAATTGGTGCTGCCTCTGTTGTTGTTGTAGTAGTGGTTGTGGTTGTCGGTGTTGGAGAAGGTGCCAGTGTTTGAGGCAATGGAACTGGAACAAAGGGTTGAGGTGTTGGCAATTGGAGTTGAGGTGGAGCTTCTTGTGGGATGGCCAGTAACATTGGTATATCAGCATTAGCAGGGGCCATATTATTTAGTGGTAAAATTGAAGGCACTGTAAATGAAATCGACAATTTTTATAATAATTAGTTAAGTTAACCAAAGAAAGACTCTACTCTATAACTCGTCTTGAATCATAGTTTGGGGACCTTTCTGTTGAAAATGTATTAGAGTTAAATCGTATACACATGTATGCACAGTGCGCTAACTGAAGTAGAGTTATTAGTTACCCGTACTCCAGAGCATGCTCATATATTGGCTCATTTTTTTCTGGGGTTTACTTATTGTGACAACAGAAAAGGGATAACGATAGAAATGTCATATTCAGATGCTCAATCACTGGTTATTTTTTCCTGGGGTTTCATATTTTGACAACAGTGAACGTGCTTTTATTTTTGCCTCAGATGCCAAAGAGAAAGAACATCAAAGCACTCGGCAATCTAATTTATACTCGGGGGCCACGCCCCTTCGTACAAATCAGATAGCTTTGTGTTTAGATGCTCTTTCTATTACATAGATGTTATATAAGACTTTATTTCTGTACTGTTTAAATTTTGTTTTTTGAAAAAACAAGAAAAATAAACTCAAGAACATAAAAGGGGAAAAAATGAACATTTATTACTTTACACCGAAGTGCACTTGGTACAGTTGAATACAAAATAGGAATAAAATATCATAAGACGTGAGAAATGAAAGTAATGGCCGCCAAGGTCGTTTGGTTAGTACTATATCCGGAACACATTTTCATTTATCATAACTTATTTAAAATAATACTAAATATTTAACATAAATAATCTTTAAACTGATAGTAATAGTTTAAAGTAAGACTTTAATGAACAATATGTCATACAAAAGTAGACTATTTTGGACAATACAGACACGAGAAATTCTATAAACTGTCATATTTTCTCTTGAATTGGGCTGCCCGTGGAATGAAAATGATCTACTGAGTTGATAAAGAAAGAGTGCGCGAGATTACGGGGAAATTTGCATACAAATTTAGGTAAAATAATGGCATATAAGTATTTGGTATCGAAACTTTGCCAAAATAAATTGACTACGCGATAGCTTACATTGATTGAAAAAATGATCATTATCAAAATTTGCTTTACTTGTAAATAGCAAGGGGTCAACATTTTAAATTGCAATCTTGTGATTTTTGTAAACGAGTTTTTGTCTTTGAATACTTCACTATTTAAATGGAACAACACTTCAGTCGACGCTGTAAGACGTTACGTCAGGTCCATAAGTTATTGTATATCAAATATTTTGTACAAACAAAATAAATTTACATACAATAATGAAAAACACAATAAATGCTGAAAAGGATCAGATCCGAAAGCGTTAAATGCTTCTAAAGGCCTTTTCCTAACATAGGATTTATAACTATAATTTAAACGGGTTTTTGACAATGTTTGAATTATTGAACAAGTAGAAATGAAAATATAAGCACTAGTAGATTGAAGATAAAAATTAAAAAAGAGCAGTCAGTAAGCCAAGTTAGGAGACCTACGAAAATTTAAATAGAGTAGATCCGTAGACGAGGTGGACGCAAAAGATACTGATTAATTATCAAGTAACTGGACAAAAAAACTGGCGTAAACGTGAATCAAAATTCTGTTACTTTACTTTACACTCTTCCGCTATCCATTCGTAAACTTATAAAATTTCAATAAAATGTAAACATTCGTGTAGTAATTATTATCTCAGCAAATTTTGATACCAAACATACCAATCGTATTTGTGCTCAAGTATGTATACAGAATTTCTATAGGTAGCAAAGTGCACACTTTCATTTGTAACTTTTATTGCAATGCAATAGAGAGAAATATAGAACGACTAAAACCCTAAAAAAAACACTTAAGAACGCCCAAAACGACAAAATTATAAATGCTGCAGGCTCGATTTGATGGACAGAAACGAAAGTGCAAGTTACCGTCCAAGTTCTTAGCACGGGCTTAAGCAGAATTTAATATTTGATCAAGGTAATGGTGAAATTTTGAATTTAGAAACATCCGCAGATGTGCAAGCTTTTTTCAACCCATAAATAATGAAGACAAAAGAACATTATTATATGCTAATGTTGCTGTTGTTAAGCAACAAAAATATTTGAATTATGCAAAATTATTTATCTTGCCTGCACGTAAACTTAATGCATATTAACATGTCCAAAATGACATGTCAATTATAAGACATTACACCACGTATTAGCCTGTCATCGAGGCATGCACATTAAAATATACGATTTCGACGGTGTGTAACGACAAGGTTTAATTAGGGTGAAATAATTAATATAATAACAATTCGGTGTTAATAAAATAAAGTGTTTTGGTTTTTGTTGTTTTTGTTCTTTCTCATTTACGATAGCTATAGTTTTCTACTACATTCAATGGCTGTACTTACATGTTTATAAATTAAAATTAAAAAAAAAAAACAAGAATTAATATGAATTTTAAATATTTATATAATCTTAAAAAGGTCAGTCCTCTTCTTTGTTGTGTTTTTGTTATATTTAATCAATTTATTTACTCATTTATTTTGTAAGGTTTATGTTTAAGTTATCGGGCCAGAAAACAAATTATTAACACAATCAATATTATAAGATAGCATTGATAAATTATACAAAACAACTCATTCAGAAATATATGTAGACCGTTGCACAAGTTCAAAAAAGCAACATTTAAACTAAACCAAAATTTAAAGGCACATTATGCCTCAAGAACGATTAAATGTTTCCTTCGTTTGAAAGGCCAAACATGTGTTTTATAACATTTAATTTATTGTTTTAGAAATGTTAGACGCGTATTATCTGAAAAAGTAGCGCAAAATGCGAAATCGTTTGTCACAAAAGCCGCAAAATGTAAACAAAGTAGTATTTTGACTTCCATACAAAACACTAAACCATTGTAACTGTATTTTTGTTGCAAAAAAGCAACAGAAGCAATCAAGAGTTCACAAATTTGGGCTATGAGTAATTTTTTTTTGAAAACTATAAGAAGGCAGTAAAAATGAGAAGCTTTAGATGAATAAAAAGTAAAGGCATAAATGGGGCAAAATGGGCCTTTAATAGACAACAAGCATCACAAAAGAATAGTTATATTACTTACTATTAAACGGAAATATACATCCGCAGTAAACAGGATTAAACACCAACTCTCCTGGACACTGTAAAGTATCCCAGAAAAATCCAAACATTTCTGTGTAGAAATTTGGAAATCCAGGAACCTCCATTCTGTTACATGTCGGTACTGAAAATTTAAAAACATGTTTGAGATGGACCATGAACAAAATTGAGAGAACTAGCATTAAAAGTTAAGTCAGTTAAAGTGATTGTAATCGGAAACACGGGGATTCAGCATGAAAGCTTAAGCCTTACTGCATTATTACATAACCATAGGGAGATTGTGTTTATTTTTTACAATTCACGAAAGTAAAGATTACAAATGAAATAATAGCGATTTATGATGAAAAGTCCTTATTTAAATACAAGCTTATTCTTCAACCAAATTAATGAAAAATTTTTGTCAACACAACACAAGAATATATTGAGACATTATGGAAACTGGACAAAAAGAATCAAATGAAATAGAAAAAAGATGTGAAAGAAAATCTAACTGAACATAGTATAACATATGAATTTGGAAATTCTGGCGCTAAAGAAGGAGAAATAGATAAGAGACTAGAGATATTGGTTTTACTTTGAACAATTAATTTTAACAATAAATCATATTAAACTAACCTTGATGTATTTCTAAAGAACTGCTGCTATCGTCTTTGTCGGCATGGCTTATCTGTAACATGGATACCAACCAAACAACAAGTAACGGCTTGACAACTGAAAATTTGTGACAGATGAAATTAAAACAAAAAAATCCGCATTGACATATTGGTATGCTTTAGGAAACTTGGTATCCTGCAAAATGTTTGAATGTGTTCTTTAGTTGAAAGCTGATCACGAAAATCCGCAATATGATGGTACATATTCTTCTATCAAAGACTGATCATTTAGTCAATGAAAGTTAAAAATGTTAGTTTAATTTATATACAATGTAACTGCAAGGAAAAGTATTGCAAATTAGTATTATAAATCCAGCAATGTTAGCTAACTATGAATCCTGCAAATTGATGCATTGAGTTTTTTAATTGAAAGTTGATACATGATGGTATAGACTCTTTAATCAAAGACTAATAATTTAGTCGTTGAAAGTGGGAACATGTTGGTATGATTCATTTGACTTCAACTTGCACCTATAATTATATTATAACTGAATATTTTTAATTCATGTGGCACTAAGATAATAAATGTGATACAAGTATGCAATTCAAAAACCAAAATAAGCACAAGTTTGATGCGGTTTCGAATGTCCTAATAAAATATACAGATAACTTGATTAAACTGTTTTCTTATATAAAATTGTTACGTTATTTTTTACCATTAGATTCTCTGCTATGCATTTGGTGACTGTTTCTTTTTGTCTTTTTATACTTTTTTACTCTTTTGCTGATATTTCATTGAAATTCAGAAAATACCTTATCAAGTACGGACATTACAAGGAAACCGTTTGTATAGTTATTTCTACAATTACTTGGTAAATAAAAAATGCGTTGTTTTTTCCTTCGATTTTTCAATTTTATGTTCATAAAAAGAATACCTCGTTACACTAATTAGATTTATTATCTAAGGGTAACATTTTTGTAAAACGTGTGGTTAATGGGTGAACGTACGGGAGTACAGTGTGAAAATCTCAATTAATTATGCAAACTAATTTAACTTCTTGACATTTCGGTGCCCGCATCATTATGTTGGAGCGACATAAAATATATTTTAAGGTGATAAAAATTACATAATAATGACAAGAACACCGTTTAGGTTATTTAATGCATTTTGTTAGGTGTATTTCATATGTCAAGGTAAATTGTGTCAATGAGTTGAACTAAGTGAAATGAAAAGTGCTTGTAACACCGAAAATAATTGAGGCGCGGGGGGGGGGGGGGGGGGGGGGGGGGGGGGGGGGGGGAGGGGGGGGGGGGGGGGGGGTTGTTTTGTCAACAGCATTGTGGGGCCGTTATGAATCGCAATTAATTATTATTGTTTATCATCATCATCGCCGTCGTCGTCGTCCTCGTATCTTTTGTGTTTAAGTTTTTTTAAGTTGAAAAGAAGTCCTTTTAGGCCTGTCCGAAGAGATGTTGCACGATTATCTGATTTGAGCAGATTCAATTAAAAGCGTGTCTCGTTAAAACCGCGTATCGTATTTTTCATATATTAATCTTGTTTCTTTTGCTTTCGCTGGAACTTAACTTTTTAAAAGAAAAATACTCTTAAATCTATTAACTTTGCCTTTTATGCCATTATCCTCGCTCAATGATGTAATATTTTTCTTTTAAAACAGAATAAAAGAGTAATTTGAATTGCAGAAGTAGAGGCGGCATAGTTGTTAACGCGTCGGACTAGTAATCTAAGGATAGGATTGCAGGTCGCGTGGGTTCAAACCCCGTCAGGAGCAAACCGTTGTTTTCTTGTGCGAGAAACTTTACATTCATTGCTTAGTACTGCTTGGTTCTAGGAACGGATTCGAGAGTGTTTCAATAAGTATATAACTTCCAACATTATCGAACTAAAATAAATTCGTATAAACTAATTTCATCAAAGATTCCGTGTTTTCAATGTACGAATATAACGTGAAAAATCTAACCATGTATAAGCAGGCTTGCAATGTCTGAGAAATCTTTGCGCACAAGTTTGTTATTTAATGAACTTTCAAGTCCTAGACGAATTATATTTTGCTATTGTTTTTGTTTGTTAATTCTAGTTAATGTGCCCTTATTAAGTTGTTATTGTTTTGCTACGTAAATTTAACGGTTTTAATGTACAGTAAGTACATATTTAAGCCAAAAAAAGAAGGACACAATTTATGAGATGTTGCAGTTATTAAGTTTAAATATAGTAAGACGATCGCGGTGTGTGGCATCATGAAAATTAAAGACCAATTACGACTGTGTTCGTATAATTCGAATGACGCATGCGACAGAATCACGTGTTTTGATATTACGACTTTTGACTGGCATTTTTAAGTTGCACAACTTAGTTTTGTTTCTTTTAGAAGAGAGTAGTTTGTTCCACATGACACAGCCATTATATACAAATGATTCCGCATTACAACCTATGACTCTTTTGACCTGTTTTATATGTATAGATAGTGTAAAAGTGAAAATAGCTTTTACCCATATATTCAGGGCCAAGACTTTTTTTATATCTTAAAGACACATTTATAATATGATCCATAACGAAATAAATCATACTAAAAACCTACGTCTGTGAAAGGTTTCGTCTTTAAGCATTGATCTAGACATATCAAAATTTATGTTATTATCATTTATTTTTATAAATGTCTATGTACACTTTTATTATTTATTTATTCATTTATTTATTTTATTTATTTATTTATTTATTTATTATTATTATTATTATTTTATTTTATTTTTTTTGTAATTTTGGATTGTGATATTTTTTCAGATTATAGAAATAAGAGCTTTAGATCTTCAGTTCTCTTTTAGAATGATGTTATTGTTTTGGTTTCATTGCTCATACATGTTTTACTGTTTTATATGGGTAGTTCAGTTCTATCATGGGGGCATACGTGACCGAGTGATTATGGTCGTTCACTTCAAATCCATTTATCCCTCACCGCTCTAGATTCGAATTCCGACATGGACTTTTGATTCTTTCATGTGAGTAAGCAATCCAGCTAGCTAACAGAACGACGGGTACCCGTTCATGCCTGAAATGATGCACGAAAGGGCACCTAAGGTCTTTATTCATTAGTAAAGCTGTCACCTATTGAGTCTGTGCGGATGCGACGTAAAACCCTACCAAAAGAACGTACCGATATAACAAAAATGATTTTGTGTGCGTTAGCTAATAGGACGTGGTGTCTCTTTAAAAGTTATAAGCGGAGCAGAGATGGTGTTTTAAGTTTGAGTTCAGTTTTTATGTTGTTGTTGTTGTTTCATTATTATTTAAGAAAGAAAATTTTAAGAACATATTTTTTTCTGGGCGGATAGAGACAGTGTACATATTTTCCGTCAAAGTTTTTTATTTTTAAAATTTTAGAGACAAGAGAAAAAAAGAAGAAAACAATAGATTTAAAACTTAAGACACATTGTAATACCAAGAGCGTTTGAAATCTGTACCATTCAGTCTATTTTGTAATAGAATATGAATCAAAAGGAAATAAATACATGAAAAACTAATAAGAACTTTTATGTTAATATGTAACTATATTATATGCAATATATTTTTGGATAAATTAAAGTTAAATGTCATTTTTCTAATCATTAAATAACATGCAATGATATTTATCAAAGACGTCTTCCAATAACAAAGATTTTACAAGAACAATAAATAAATAAATAAATAAATAAATAAATAAATAAATAAATAAATAAATAAATAATAAATAATAATAATAATAATAATGATAATAGCCAAATGTCTTAATGTGCTATATCAAAATGTTGTAAGATGATGAAATGTCATGACCAGAGTATAAAAGAAAATACAATAATCTAATTCATAAGATAACACTGTTCAGGTTCAGTTGCATTTACTGCAATAAGAACCGAAGTACGAAATAAATAATAAAACTGACCAACGACAACCGAATTTATAAGCTCAGATTTAGTTATTAAAGATAACAATAAATGAATAATGATATAGACATGAAATATAATTAATGTCAAATCGATTCATTAATGTGTCAAAATAGTGTAAAGAAACCAATAATTTAAAAATTAAGTATAAACAACTCACCATAGTTCAAATTATTAAATATTTCCATGTTCAGGTGTTATATTTAATACTTAAAACATTAAAGCTATCAACCGAATTACTTTCCTCAAACCAGTGTAAAAGACTGAGTGAACCTTTACTTTTAATTTCTGTAAATTTAAGACAATTTAGTCAGTCACGTGACCAATTATTATAATAATTTTGAATATAATTAAACAGTGACGAATTTAATACAAAATGTATGTTTCAACCGTACGACTGTGTATTGTAGTATACCCATGCACGGAAGAATTGACAGAATGTTTAATCGCGCAATTAGCCATTGTCTTGTAAAATTATGAAACTTAAAACAACTACACGGGCGATAAGAAGTTGTTACAGCGCATTACGTCATCTGTACTTTAACGTCTCCAGGGCACAAAACGGACAATTAAAACAGTTGTTAGTGTGCTACTAACCTGCTCATTGTGACCTTTTTCAGCAGAGGTCATACTAAAGAGAAAGGGAAAGCGACAGAAATATCATATTCAGATGCTCGTTCATTGGTTACTTTTTCCCGGGGTTTCATATTGTGACAACAGGGAACGTGCTTTTATGTTTAACTATGCTATGATACAAAAGAGAAAGAACATCAAAACACTCGGCAATCTGATTTATACTCAGGGGCTACGCCCCCTCGTACAAATCAGATAGCCTCGTGTTTCGATGCTCTTTCTATTACATAATTTGCGGCATAGATCAAAGGCATGTGCATGAAGGCTTAGTATCAAATGTAACGTATTCAACGTAAAGTTACGTTCAAAACCGTCTCATTCGATTAATTTGAGTGCTGCTGAAAGTTACAAACGTCTTCGTCTCGAAACTAAGTGTCTATGGATCCATAACTGATCATGATACCGTGCAAACATTGAGAGAAAAAATCAGAATTCTTCACTATACGCAAAGAAGAGAAAAAACCGGTGTTAAAATGCCATTATGGACTACATGCATGTATATATGCGGCTGTTATTCTTTGCTCCATACAAAGTCTTTTTAGTTTAAAATCACAGTCGAATGTGAAGGGCTAAAGTATGTAACATGCACGCACATCTGACTAAACTGAACAAGAGCTGACAGTCGGACAACATACTCCACTATCCTCAATTCTTGATAGTAAAACAAGAGACATGAACAGAACAGAAATTTTATTTCGAAGGTTAGTGCAACAAGTGTTTGCAATAACTTAGGGTGATGTCAATGCTAAAGTTTCGTGTCGCGGTAAATGGCCCGGAATTTTAATTTCTTACGTAGATTACCTGGGGCACATCAAACAGAAAGATATACAAAAGATAATTAAGAATTTATTTTATACTCCGAACAAAATGTAAATGGTATTCCTGTGCTATGTTTGGCTCAACTGTAGTGAAAAGCGTTGAAACAGATTTCATTTTTAGGTTATGTTTCACACTTACAATAACTACTCTGGAGAAACGGAGTGAGAGAATAATCTGAAACTTAATTTGCACCTAGACCTACATCAAATGGAACATTAATCTCTAAAAATTATTTCAAGTCCCGTCATGTAAAAAAACCAAAAAAAAACAAAAAACAAAAAAAAAAACACAACAACAAACAACCTGCGTGGCGTCCCTAGTGGAGTTATACACAAGTGTTAGCCAGGAATTTCGTAAAGGTGTTAAATTCAGTCAAAACGTTATACTAGGGTTATGGGCCTTAGACTTTGTGACCTAAAATTATTATTTCAAATACATGTGAGCATACCTTGATTGGCTTTCGGGAAATGCATGCAAACTTTTTGTCTCCGCTGCAGGATAACCGCATTCTTATCCGTTTTTAAAATGTCGCAATTATAAAATGTCCTCTTCATTAACTTAGAAAGATAGGAAACGAATTCATTATCCATATACTATCGGGATTATCACTAAACTTTTTTTTGTCTTTCGACTGTCACATGCAGTTGCCAATATTGCAACGGTAAATTTTGGGATACAGCAGTTGCCTGTCCCAAAGGCAACCCTGGTTCCTTTACATGTCCGGTGTTGAGCACCGATAAATGGAATGCCCTTTTAAAGGTCTCGTCCCGAAGACCATAAGTATTGTCGTAGGAGCGATCCGTGGGTTACAAGTCTATCACGTTACCACTAATCTGCTTCTAAATATCACGCACCTATGTACTAGGGGCTTTTCATTTTCAAAGTGTCATGCATCAAGGTTTGATCCCGGCAGACATCCCTATTTCATTATAAAAATTATAAAAGTTACAAACAAGGATATGTGAAGACTATAGCACTATAACGGTATATGACTACATGTACATTCTCGGTAATATATAATTTGAAAATTTGTGGAGATAACTTGTTTCTTTTTAGCATAATGTTTAATTTATTTCTTACCACTGCCCAACCCTTTGGTAACAGCAGTGACCTTCAAATCCCTGGTCAAAGCCATACAGTTAGATGAAGAAAAAAATCCTCTGCCATTTTTTCGCGCCAAGAAAAAACCACTGCATTGAGGCAGCAGTGTGGGGACAAACGATACAGAGCCCATTTTCCCAGGCGAGGGGCGTGGTTACTAACGACTGTTGCAGAACCATTTCAATCTTGTTAGTTTGTACGAACCAGGCACAAATAATGCAATACAACTTTGAATGTATATTCACGTCTATATTCGACTTCGGGTAAGCCAAAAACTGCACTCATACAAATCATTCCTACACATTTCTGAATCTCAAGTCTGGGGCTTACTCGGTTTACAGCAAGTTCCCTCATAATTCTGTCTTCCACTTAAAGCTAGCTAATATAAAGTTGCAAAAACTTGTTTCATATTAAGCTAAAATTAACATTTCAAAGAATTGTTTTTCATGCCAATTTTGTATAAAATGGGACATAAATATATCTATAAATCTCATTTGCACAACAAACAAGGGTAACATTGTCAAAAAAAATACGCCCGTCACAATAGCTTTTGAGAGATGTGGGCATTATAGATATGTAGTCATGATAGTTGTGTTACAATCCATCAATAAATGATAAATAAATGGTCCCCGGAAACAAACGTTGAGCTATCTATGTGGCCTTGAATTTGGAAGCAGGGACCTGGGTTATGAGCGCAATAAGCCTCACAAAGGTGAACATATGTGCTAAGATACATTAAAACCCCCCGATGAATGCAGAAGTTCGGCTCCGAACAAGCATTTTTCAATGACCTCTAAGCGTGACCTTAATATATTACCTAGAGACCTGGTTCATGCACGTGACACTGCTTCTCATAGTGGTGAACATTTCTATGAAGTTTCCCATTATGCGTGGAGGAGATATGCTCTGAAAAAAACTTCAATATTTTATCATTTTTGCGACCTTGACCTTGCATATAATTACCTAAATCACATGTTTCACACCAGTAATTATGATAATGACCATTTGTGTTTCAATCACTCAATAAATGATGACTAGATGGTCCGAATACACATTTTCATATTTTATCTGAACTCTGACCCCTATTTGTAACCTTGACCGCAGGGACCTTAATTTTGCATGCGAAACTCCGCCTTACAATAGTGAACATTTGTGCCACACTATATTGAAATCCCTCTATGCATATAGTACATACAAGCGTTTTTCAATGACCTCAGTGTGACCTTGACCTTTGAACTGGTTTATGTGCGCGGCACAGCTTCTCAAAGTGGAAGTTTCATTTATATTCCTCCATGCGTGTAGGAGATATGCAAAAATCTATATATTTTATAATCTTAGTGACCTTGACTATCATCTTTAGTGACCTTGCATATATTAACCTAAATCACGTTTCACACCAGAAGTCATGATAATGACCATTCGTGTTTCAATCCCTCAATAAATGATGACTAAATGGTCGAATACACTTTCAAAATTTTATCTGAACTTTGAACCCTGTGAGACTGACCTTGCCCACAGGGACCTAAATTTTGCATTTGACACTTCACAATGGTGTAGATTTGTGCCAAGTTATATTGAAATCCATGTAGAAGTTTTGCCTCGGACAAGTTTTTCAATGACCTCTAAGTGTAACCTTGACCTGGTTCTTGTGCACGAAACAGCTTCTCATAGTGGTGGACATTTCTATGAAGTTTCAATAAAATTCCTCCATGCGTGCTCGGAAAAAAATCTATATTTTATCATCTTCAGTGACCTTGCATATATTAACCTAAATTACGTTTCACACCAGTAGTCACAATTTTCAATCCTTCAATAAATGACTAAATGGTCCGAATATACATTTTCATATTAAAAATTTTTTATCTGAACTTTGACAACTTTGACTAAATTTTGCAAGTAACACTCCATCTCACAACGATTTGTGTAAAGTTATATATTAAAATCCCTCTATGCATGCACTAGTTTTGCTCCGGACAAGCGTTTTCATTGACCTCCAAGAATGACCTTGACCTGGCTCATGCGCGCGACACATGTCTCATAGTGGTGACCATTTCTAAGTTTCATTAAAATTCCTCCATGCTGTAGGAGATCTGCTCCAAACAAAAATTGGATGCGGCAAGACCGCCCGCCAGGGGGGAAACCATAATACGACCCGTTTTTCAAACGGGCGTATAAAAACTGCGAGTTAGAAATACAAACAAACAACTTGTGAAGTAAAATAGCACTTATATTTGCAAATAAGTTTTCTGATAACAAGTGGATTTTTACAAACATCTACAAGTCATTTTACTTTCTTCAAATGAATAATTAATGTCTCAAGTCTAAACATTTCAATGTTTGTATCTGTTAACAGCAAATACACAGAGAAAAAATAATATATAATATAATACATGTACATTACAATAGTTCAATAAATCACAGCTTGGTTTTTGAGTACTAAAGATTCAGAAAATACGTGACTTCATTAATTATCCATTTAAATTCATTCAAACATATTATTATCATGCATTTACCATACAAGGCCAAAACAAAATAATACTGTGGTTTCTTCAATCCACCAACCCTAAATCCCCCCCCCCCCCAGTCCCTACCCCCAAAACTTTTCCAGTTAATAACTTGGGTAATTTCTATAAAATAACCTTACACCAGTTCAGCCTTACGACCCCATCCCTACAACCCCATCCCTTTCAGTGATTTAACATAACCGCAGTTTTATTCTGTTTTGGCAAAAGCGAAAAAATCATCATCAATCTTCAAGGGCAAAATAAAAAGGGCATATAATATTATTTATAAATAACATTTTTACTAAAATAAATTTTGTCATAACTTAATGAATTTGTCATTTTAGATATTTCTCTACCCTTGCTCCCTTTTAATTTTAGACAAAAATATCTTTCCCTTGTATACATATAAAAATCATATACAATGCCCACTAAAAAACCCAATAAATATTTTCCCTTGAAAATTCCTTTTTTAAATACATGTATTACAAAGTATGAACAAATCAAGCCAGCTATTGATAGAGTTATTACAATACCATTGCTAAGAACAATGTTATGCGAGGGTGGGGGTGGTAAGGATCTACTTCATTTAGACATATCTGATGCCAGAATGTGATTTTCAAACTTAAAAGCTGGTAAAAAAACAACACTGCCTCAGCATAAAAAAATCTAGCCCACAAACCAATCTAAGCCAAAAAATGACAATTTCATTGAAATACCTTAAATGCATTAAGATAAAAAAAAATAAGAAAAAAAGAAAAATAAACATTTCAATTAATTTTATTTGGCACCATTTTAAACAGATTTTGTGCCATTTTTAACAGCATTATCTCACCTTGAACGAAAAACAGTGTGATAACAGATTTTTTTTAACAAAGAATTGCATTAAGACATCACTACATCAAATTCCACCAATAGCACGAAAAAAAAAATCAATAAAAAAAATCTAGTGTTTTGTTGTTGAACTTCAAAATATCCACCTACAAAATAGTGATTAAACAAAGAAATAACACTTGTCACCCTAAAGATCTTAAATTAAAATAGTCCATTTTTTCAATCTTGGAAAACCTTTTGAAAACGTTCAAATTTCAGAAATATGTACTGATCCAATAGCTAACAGTTCAGATCATGACCAGACGACATAGAGGGGCCTTCTGATCATGGTCCCCACTGGTCACATGGCATTTATAACCAGCTTCCACAAGCAGTCTATAAGTTAATCTTATTTGAACTCATGCTGGCAAAGGAGTAGCTCAATTATCCTAAATTCTCAATTATACACAATAAATGTTTCAAATTTAGACCAGTCATAATTATTTTCAGGTCTATATACAGCAATAACAAATCACATATCTTCACAGTATGTTTGACTTTTTCAATTACAGCATCCAATACAATCATGCCACTCATAGAAAGAAATACCAGCCTTTACAAACAAGCAGTCTATCTAATACATTTGGCACCTGTAATTGTTAATTCAAAAACCGTAACTCGTGTGAAGCCAATGTAAAAACTTATCAGAAACAATTAAGTTTTAAATTCGGATATCTTGTCTTCGAACCTCTTAACAAATTAATACATACTTTTCATCATAAAATTTAAATGAAGGACCTGTCAAAATTAAAATTGACACAATGTACATAGTACCTATCATATGTTATAATGTACATACCAAGACCTCTTGAACCCGTAAAAAATATACATATTATACCACCTCTAGCAAAATTATACATGTATATTCCTTGTACTTCTGAAGACATCGTAAGGAATGCATTATGGGTAAGGAATGCACTAGTCGCAGAAATTTAATAAATAATCGCATTTTACATATTCACAGGTTAGGTTCATACACATTTACAGATTTGTTTCATGTAGATTTATCTAAACATCATAATATGAAACAAATAAAGTACATATCAATTTTGTTTTGCCTGATATTTTTCTACCCATATAGAACTTACTGTTATCATTTTGGATGGAAAAAGACAATAATTTTAGTGGCCAGACATAGGCTTGAATAACAAGATTGTTATCAATTTCATTTTTCAAGTTTTTTTTTTACTTTCATGTAACATCAACACTGTTAAAGGTGAACTTCTTAAATCTAGATTTAATGATAGAGAGAGACTCGATTACTTTTTCATGTCCCCACCAACAACAAACTGATCCCAAACACCATCACATGGGAAACACAAAGTTTCATGGTGAAGGGAGGAATGACGCAGGACCAATATCCATATCATAATAAACCAAACTGTCAACAGGTTTGCCAGCGAAAAACCTCTACCATGTCTGGAATTCGAACCCATGACCCTCCCCAAGTCTTTACATCATAAAGTTGCCCCATTTTAGTGAAAAACCAAGAGGGGACAAGAAGAAAACACATACCAATTCAGATAACATTCCTCTTGACTAAAGTTACAGTACTTTTTCACCAAACAAAAAAAATTCTTTTTAAATATATAGATAATTCAATTTAACGTCATATGACTATTTTTTGCAAGTGAATTTTGAATACAAGAAATCTTTATTAACTTAAGAACATGTCCCTTATACAATGCATCAAATATTTAGAAAGAAGAAAAAAGAACAACCAACATATTAAAGCCAGTACAAGGGCGGGACTATTTGGCAATAGATTACTTTGGAGAAACGCAAGCAGTTATAATATTGCACACCACCCTTACACGAGGTCAACAAAATTGATAAAATGCGGCCAGTTTACGTTTCATGCACCTAACATATATATCGTCACACGACTCACTGATGAACACACGCATATGAATATACATATTCATTAAATACCTTATATATAACACAAGAATATCTTTTAAATATGGGGAAAAAGGGGGGCTATAAATGATAAATAAATTCTTTAAAACCACAAAAAAGAAAAGATAGCGTATTTCTTTAAATTCACCATGAAAAGTGATGTATTTACTTTGAACAGTGTATAAATTGACATTCATGACAATGAAATTCGTAAATGAAAATGATGGTTTAGCACTAATACCTCCTGCACTTGATGATAATAAACATGGTGAGAGGGGTGTGTGGGGGGTGGTGAACAAAATGCACTTTTTGTTTCTAAATGAGAGATGACCGATCAGTCAGCTGTCTCAGCTTACAAAACAAGCACATTTTTTTGACCGTAAGAGTGATTTTTACTGTACAAAACTATTTGAAAGTTTGTCTAAAATCTAGGTCGGACGCTCATCCTATTTGGCCAAAATTGAAGGTTTGGGGTACAGCTGTCTGTGAAGCGAAATTGTAGCCACCACTCTGTTCAATTTTCTTTGATTCTGTAAAGGAAAATGAGATTCATGCTAACTATAATGAACACTTTTATTAGGCTTTAAGTCAAACTAACACTGTAAAGATCATATCTCATCTTTCAAAATTTACAGTTGGAGGAGGACCTCATGTGTCGCTCCATGCATTTTTCAGGCAAGATCTGGCGCCAGAGTTTAACAATCTACATTCCATAATATAACTTCCTCACAAAAGAAAATGCAAAGTGCCTGGCAGGATTCAAAACCTCAAATTGTCAACATATTGTCAGAGTGAGAAAAATAAACTCTTTTAACACAAATGTACTTAAAAAGGCATTCTGAAAAACTGCCAAAAGAAGTTCAGTGACTTCAGGTTTAATACAGTGTCTGCCAAAATTAGTCAACATATAATTCTTATTATTCATATAAATCAAATACAAACCTGCTGCGGCTTTTCTTTGCTCGGCTAGTTTAAATACATCATCGAGTTGTTTAGTTTGTTCTGCTGTAAGCTGACTAGTGATTATAGAATACCAATTACCATCTACTGACTGGAGATCTGAAAAATAAATACAGAATTGTCTCCCTTTCCAGGCACCACACATCATAAATTCTAACGCTAATTTTCATAAGAGCATTGTTGTCATTTTAGATAGCAAAAAGGAATTTATAATTCACATAAATTACCTCAAAATACACCAAAATATGCTGAAATTCTACAAAACTAATGGGGTAAATATGGTGCAAGAAACAGTATACATGTATAATACCTAATTTTGCATTTAAAATGTAGAACATTATAATTTACAGAATGCAAATATTTAATGTATTTCTTAAAACTCTGGAGAAATCTTTTATAACAAAATTCTTAATTTGAGCTTCTAAATCAGCGGTCACGGACAAATGACCATTAGACAAGATATCCAAAATCAGTTGTCTCGAACTAATTTTGCCTTTCAAGAAGATTGAACTATCAACCTCTGGATCACAAAACCTATGCTGTTCCTATTGGACTAGGGTGGACAAGCAGAATATCCTGGATACATACCTTCACTAATGGTATGGTCAAATCATTATCATACTAGCATTCAAAAGATTGTCTGCATTTTTAAGTCACAAAGACACTGTAATTGTCAAATGGCGATTTGCCAGTTTTACTGATGGAGGAAGACATCATGTGTTTGTCCATGCATTATTTCAGTAACAAGGGGACATCGAAGTAGAACCACCAACCCTCTGTAAGCAAGTTGAATACCTTCCTCATAATGACAGTTTGACGGAAATTAATATAGCAAAAGACAGGGAAGAGGGTGGGGGACCATAAACACGATAAATAACTTACTCTGTAGGATTTGTTTAAAGATGATATATTCGTCTACAGGACAGTTGTCCTCGTCGAGGGGTGTCTGATAACTCTCGAGGGCAGTCTCCTCAGCTTCATCATCGTCGAGGGAATCATCGTCACTACTGTCGCCATCATTATTTACCTGAAATATGTTACGGTAAAACAGTCTAATCATGTTTCTTTTCCTTTCATTCACTCAATATTATTAGCATGGTAATATAAACTAATTAAAATGGCAAAGAGCAGACAATTATTAAGTCAAAGCAGGTAATTTTTTTTCAAATAAACAAGTAATTCAATTTATATATGAGCCGCGTCACGACAAAACCAACATAGTGGGATTGCGACCAGCTTGGATCCAGACCAGCCTGTGCATCCGCGCAGTCTGATCTGGATCCATGCTGTTCAGTTTCTCCACTTGTAATAGTTGGTAAGCGAACAGCATGGACAGACTGCATGGATGCACAGGCTGGTCTGGATGCATGCTGCTCGCAAACCCATTATGTTGACGCCGCTCATATTATTTTTAATATATATTTTTCTGTATCAATCAAATCAAATAAAGTTCAAAAGTTTTTTTTTCATGCAAATGATTATTCATAAGCTAAACCATGTGAAAACCTTGGGAGAACAGTATGATAGGTTGTCAATATAACCTATAATTAAAATATATAATTTTTTTTACTTAAATACTAGTAACCAGTAATATGAAATTTGTTGAAAGATTTGTTTGTTGAATTTTAACTTGCACAGACACCGTCACATTCAAGACTTCTGGTTTAAAAAGACACAAGATGCCTGCCCCTACATGTATTATTTCAAGAATAAACAGTCCCAACAGTACAACCACTGACCCTTTCCTATGCCAGCTAGATAGGTCCTTCACATGAAAAAGTTCCTGACAGGATTCAAACACACAGCAGCGAGTGGCTAGTATTTTAGAGTTGCTACCTTAACCACTCAGCCAAAGACTGCATCACTGTTTAAAATGTGGTGACAGCATAATAACACACGACAAGTATTAACCCTTGTCCAGGTAAATATCTTAAATTAACTTGTTCATCATTCAATCTGAACATTGATCACTGATAATTTTAGTAAAATTTCAAAATATGACCTTGACTGACAAGAAAACAGTGCAAAACATGATTAGATGGCACTAAAGTATTAGCTGATTTTGGTTTGCACTGGTTGCATGGCATGTGTACCATCTATTGCAAGATAGCAAGCAGACCAAGGGTTAAGATTGACTTGTTAAACTACAATTAATTTGGGCAAAAAAAATCAGTATTATATAAACTTACAGATTTCTCCAATTTTTCTAGATATTGTTGACCTTCCTCATCCACTTCATCTTCATCACTAGCAAGAGCATCTACAACACAAATAATACAAACACTTTACACAATTAAATGTACATGTAACTTGAACATTAAAGGCCCATTAAGTAGTACTACCATTAAGCCTTCAAATGCTTATTGCTATCATTTTTATATTTCAAAGTTTCTAATTTTGATGTATAGGTTAATTTTCCAAAAGTTACTCATTAGCCATAAATCTGATCCATTATTTGCCTCTTGTGTTTTGGCAAGTGGTAAGGTAAAGTTACAGTGATTTAGTATTTTGTAAGAATGAAAATACTATTTTGTCTACATTTATGCTACCTCTTTCATAGATTTGTTTCACATGAAAAACCATTGTCTCCAGGTATTAAGTATGTAACATGCTGTAAGTCCATTATTACATTATAAAACATCACTCTGATATATATAAAACATAAAATTGTAGTTACTTTAAACATATGCATTTCTGCTTGAATGGGAAACAAGTTTCTTTCAACTGGTATCATTTATTTTTCTTCATTCCTCTTTCTGGAAAACCAGTAACGTTAATACCTGGGTTTCAAGGAAGACACAAACCCGACCACTACACGATATGCTAAAATAGTAAGGCATACCTTGCTCATAGTCGCCATCTTCATCATCATCATCGTCTTCACTGTCTGAATTCTCATTCTCTGCTCTTGCTGAAATAACACAAAAACCAATTACTGTACGGCTTTGGAAAGAGTTACACTGAAACTCAACAAATGTCATTTTTCTGTTCCATTACTGGATTACAAACTTTTACAATTACAACATGGCTACAACATCAATGTTAGGCGCAACAGGTTGTTCGGTGCAGTAGTGCACCATGAAGCTGAAAATTTTCGGCTTAAATTGGCACAATCAGCTTTTTTCCTTTCAGAGTAAAGCTTCAAATCTGATTATAAACATCTAATACACAATATTGAAAATTTACAATTACAATATAGTAAAACTATCAACTTACTCTCATACGCTCGTTTTAAGCCGCTGAACAAGACGAGGGCAGCTGGAAGGATTTGTGAGCCGACTTCCGTCACTTCTGATGGTCTATTTGATTCCAACATACTTAATAAATTACATAGTCCTAATACACTTACTTTCCTATCATGCAACCTGAAAAACCAGTCAATTTTCAAATTCTGTTAAATATACACATCATGATATTGTTTTACATGTCCCCTTCTAAGACACAGCAACACTGTTAATAACATACAGTGACATTCAAGTTTCACTCACAGGTTAGTAAAACAAATTCTTTGTCCCAAATATGCTTACTAAAAACAGTGTCCTTAAAGCTATATTTTACAGAATGAAGATAATATTGCTAGACTTTCTCGTTGATAACAACAGACAAACAGAAAAAGAACAATATTGTCCTCTTCCCATTATGCCATTGAGCAATACAGGTGTCACAAAAACTTTTTTCAGTACAACCTCTGCAGAGCAATACCCTTCAGAGAAATAAAGACTTTGGTTATTGACAAGGTGTTGCTATAGAGAAGTGTCAAATTATTTCAGTCTTATTTTGGGAAGATTTTAAAGAAAATGTTGTTGGACAGAAGTAATATAATACCTCTAAAGATGGTATCTATGCAGAGCTTGCACTTTATATAGAACTTTTTCAACTGGATGATCACAACTGTATTACATGAGAAAACTATTAATTAACTATGTCAGACAAGAACCCAACAGACAAATCCAAATATTAGTGCCAATTCTCAATATATTTTTTTCCCTCTTGCCAACAGATTTCTCTCATCATAAATAAAGGATCATCTATAAGTAACCCAGTCCCAGTCACTATGACCCCAGCCCTAAAATAATCACTACACTTACCCTAGGAAGCAATCCACATCATGAATCCACTGTTTTAAGAATTGCTGCATCACTGACCCTTGCACATTGGCCACTTTCAATGTTTTCAATGTCTCAATAAGTAAAGGCGTATTATAGTACAATGCGGCTATCACTACTTGTAAACACATTGTCCTTAGTTCGGACGTTAAAACTTCTCTAGTTAGTCTTTCTAGCACTAATTCAACAAACGGTCTTATAATCTGAAAATTGAAAGGAAAAAATACGTAAATGTGTCTTAAGAACAGTCTAAAAATTATTCTATCCCTCTTCATTTCACCCAGTCATTGGCTAACCTCTCCATCTGACAAAAGAGGAAAAAATTCCATTTGGAGCCAAAGTACAAACATACGTTTATCAATAGGGGTGTAACAATACAGTTTTTTCTCGATTCAATTCTCCATTATTGTTTCGTGAAAATGGTGACAACAAATCATATCGAAATATGCCAATGACAAAAAAGACATTTGATTCTTCAAGTCTGAATCACGGTTTGGCATAATCGTGAGTAATCCTTTCACTCCTAATAATCAAGTTTCTTTCGTCCGATTTAAGATTATTAACCTCTGCCATACCTTGCTATAAAATTTGTTAATTTACAAGTATGATATTTGACACAGTCACCTTACTCAAATTAAAGGGAAATTTAAACAAAGGTCATTGATATTACTTTATCCATAATATTTTAGTACCAACAATATAAGTTAGATATTGGTCATTTTGAACTTGCTAACTACAATGTGAAGAAATATGAAAACAATACGCGATCCTTAACTCTGGCACCTACTTGATCAACTTGCCCTGGACACTGCAGTAATACGACCTCCAGTAACTTCGCAGCGTGACATTCAGCATCCTCTCCTACATCAGCTGACATTACCTGCAATGTTTCAACAAGGGTTCTATATACTTTCTAATTATTTACCGGATTCATTCTACTTTCTAATTATTTACGTGGTTCATTAAATTTTCTAATTTTTATTCAGGTTTGCACACAAAAAATGCCCTTTTCTTTTCTAGGGCTGCTAAGTACAGTACTGCCAAGTCATATAAATGGTAAAACAGGGTTTAGTTAAAAGTTTAAAACAAAATCTACAATAATCATACCTAAATCTTACCAAACTCATTGCTTAATTTTGCGAAACTTGGTGAAAGCCAATATTTTAACATTTGACATTTGGAAAGCACACAATGTAAAGAAAAAGTTTGTGTTGCGATTGTTTTTTACACTTTTTACACCAAATTTTATAAAATTTATAGTCATATCTTGCGTTTGGTCAACCAAACTGACTTTCCGGATAGCCAGCCAGTCACTACCAATTAATCCTGAAGTTCCAAACTACTAATAAAAATTCAGATTCAGAAGTTAGGGACCATTGCACTCAATGTCCAAGATCAGTTATCACAGAGAAATTTCATCTTGGCCTAGCACTGAACAGCAGCATAGCAAGTTCACAAGGTTAAGGTTCAGAACAATATGAGTTTAAAGATTTTTTCTTTACCTGTTTACACATATTATAAATAATTTCTAGATGTTTTGGGTTGGAAAGGAATGTTTGTGTGTCCACAGTGATGTAATTATGCAAGGCAGGCATCATATCTGAAAACATACATGCACAAGTCTTGATTAGACTCAAAAACAATCATTTTCATGCAAATGTCTTAAGCACTTGGACACAATTTAGACTCTTCAAAAGATTTTCTACATTTTCTATGGGAATAACAGGGACAAACTTTAAAACTATGTATTTGTAGTAAAGACATTGCTACCTCTGGACATTGCACCTGCAAATATTCAAATTATGTACATTGAAAAGCTGTACACAAATGACTAAACAATTTTAAGTTGAGAAGAACAGGGGTCAGAACAGTAGCCCCCTACTTTGGTGTCAGTTTTATCATTTAGAACCCCCCCCACACACACACACATATACATAGTCATAATGTAAATAACTAAAAACACTGATTTATTCAGAACAGTTATGGTACCATACCTGTAAAGTAGTCTATACCATCTTTCTGGAACATTTCATACAGCATTAGATAGACCTGCCACATGTGTACAGTGACATGTGAGCTCGTTAAACTGTAGATCAATGACAACACTTCCTCGTAGAAATCTGAAAATACATAGTTATTCTATACATAGGACCTTACACAAGTTCGTACATTACATCAGGGTCTCCATTCCATGATTTAAAATCTAAAACAGAAGATCCTATACAATATCATATTGAAGTGTGCATTGCGCAAATTTAATTATGTAATACTTAACATTAGGAGTATTGTTGTTGACAGACAAAATTCCCTTTTTTGCTTTAAAATTATCCGAAATTCCCCTATGTGAGGGCCCCAGCCCAAGTCCTCTTTAAGAAAGTTATGTCACCGTATATAGATATTTTACATCAAGAGGATCTTACTCAAGATACCCTTGTATTTAACAAGTTTAGGAAGATTATGTTACATTGCAAGCCTGTGGTATCAGAATGAAATCATCTCAATAAAATATGCATTTCAACTACCAGACTTGAAAAAGTCACAACTTTGAAATTTTGTTGATTTTTATTTCAACTGTTCACTGGCTAAGAGCAGTTATATTAACTCACCTAGCATTTGTCTTTGCAGTACAACTCCCACAACATTGAGCACAATTCCTTCTAGTTGCAGCATTATCTGTGTAAAATATAATTACAAGCATTATTAAGTATTATAAAGGGACATAATTAAAAAACTAAGCAATGTACAGTAATGAGTAACTTCCATGTGTAGTTTCAAAGAGATATCATTGATAGTTTAGAAGTTATACTCCTAACAAGCATTTTTAACTTAAGGGAGATAATTCAAAAGTTAAGCAAGTTAGAGTTATGATTCTTAGACACTGCAATGCCTCTCAATGGTCTCTAGTCACTATGTGAAGTTTATAAATAAAATTCCTTCAATATTTTTTAAGTTATTCTCCGAACAAGAGTGTGATGGGCGGATGGACAAAGGAGCAACTAATAGTAAATGCTCTCCTTTCTAGGAGTATAAATGTTTTCAGAGTTGATTTGGTGGAAATGATTTGTTTGGTGGATATGATTTATAACTATACTGAATTTGTCCTAAAACAAAACCTTCACTTGATATGCTTATGATTGAATAGGTATATTAATTCACACTTTTTGTACACTGCCCACAGCAAACAAATTTAAAAGAAACATCATTTGTTATGCATGATCGCAGTTTCATGCATATTGCAATATCTAGGACTTGTTGAAAAACATGAATAGTACTATCTACATGAATACATGAGAACTAATGTTGCAACTCTCATTAAGTGGAACAATTTCTTAAGAATGATCCAAATAATGACGGGAAAGAAAACATAATTTTGTTTTTTAACTACAAGTTCCAAGCACTTCTAGGGAAGACTGAATATTTCTGTCAAACTTTTAAATGTCATTATAGAGCTTTAAATAGAGTAGATAGACCTCCCAAAACCATTCTAACATTCCAATGGAGATTCAAACCCACAACAGAGGGCCAAGTAATTCCATGTTGACAAACTTAATCACTGCTACCTTTTTAATATTAAAATATATGGTATGTAAATGTTAAACTGTACCTCTTTCTGCTCTTCCATCACTGTAAGTATAGTTTCCATGGTGTTTAATATACCGAGAGCTGTGATAGCCTTCTCCTCCGAGCCATCTGAATCAGCCTCCAATACTTGTGAGAAAGTTGTTGCCTGTCAACACAAGAGAAACTAAATATAAGGTAGTTATTTTGGAGATTTTTGAGAGTACACCTGTTCCGTTAATATAGCTTTCATGTAGCACTTGTTAAAAGATTTTATTCATAGTAAAACAATACAACTTAAAGATGCAAGTAAAGATGCAAGTATTAATTGTTGTTTTTATGCCTATTTTAACTCTTGGTCTTTCCTAGATAACAAATTACTAGTAATTTATAACGTCTTCAAGGAACAGACTATCCAACATGACTTCCAGTTGTGAGAGACAAATGACCATTAGACAGAATGTCCAGGTTTTTGTCACTGAAAATTTTCCCACTTCCCTAACAATCAAACCAGAGACCCTTAGATAACAAATCTGATGCAGAAACTATTTCAACATGAAGTTTTCATACAACAAGAGATGTTCAAGGTTGAAAATAAAGAATATGAACAAACTTACCAGATGAGACATCATTTCGACAGCTATGGGCGTAACCTCCTCTACATACGTACACACCAATCTCTGCATGGTTCCCGTCAAGTCATCGTTCTCCGTCTCTCGGATCAAATTTAGCAGTTCTATTATCACAGTTTTCACATGCGGTTTCATGTATAATTTTGCTGCAAAATAATCAGCAATGCATTTTATCAATATATAACATGCACAATGAATTTGACATATTTTTTTTTAAATAACTTCTGGGAGCTGCTTTGTGTATGCTCAATTGAGAAATTGATACGTTGAAATTCAATTAATTTGGGAATAAATGCAGCTCATTAACACCCAAATTAAGATTTTATTGAGGCAGGACAACTAAGTGGTTAACATATCAAATTAGTAATCTAAGGACCTCTAGCCATGTCGGTTCAAACCTTGTTAGAGACATACCATTGTTTCTTAAAGCAAGTAACTTTACACTCATTGCTTAGTTCCACAACAGACTTGAGTGTATGTATGTCTATAGGCTTATAACTTCCTACCACGTCTAACTAAACAAGATATGTTTGTAAAACATGTATGCCCCCTATCAGCAGCCAATTAGTCATGTGATAAGGTTATTATGCATGACTTCTGACCCAGTGATCAAACAATTAATAAGGGTTATCAAGTATCTACTGGTCATGACCTTAACCTTTGACCCCTTGACCCAAAACTCAATAGGGGTCATCTGCTGGTCACGACCAATCATCATACAAAGTTTGAAGTTCCTAGGCCTAAGCATTTTCAGTAAATTGATCAGAAACCTTTTTTACCTACAAGGTCAATGTGACCTTGACCTTTGACCCCTTGACCCCAAAATCAATAGGTCATGACCAATCACCATACCAAGTTTGAAGTTCCTAGGCCTAAGGGTTCTTTAGTTATTGATCGGAAACCGTTTTAACATACAAGGTCAATGTGACCTTGACCTTTGACCCCCAAAATCAATAGGGGTCATCTGCTGCTCATGACCAATCACCATGCCAAGTTTGAAGTTCCTAGGCCGAAGTGTTCTTTAGTTATTGATCAGAAACCGTTTTTACTTCCAATGTCAATGTGACCTTGACCTTTGACCCCTTGATCCCAAAATCAATAGGGGTAATCTGCTGGTCATGACAAATCACCATACCAAGTTTGAAGTTCCTAGGCCTAAGCGTTCTTAAGTTATTGATCAGAAACCGTTTTTACTTACAAGGTCAATGTGACCTTGACCTTTGACCCCTTGACCCAAAACTCAATAGGGGTCATCTGCTGGTCACGACCAATCATCATACAAAGTTTGAAGTTCCTAGGCCTAAGGGTTTTTAGTTAATTGATCGGAAACCGTTTTTACCTACAAGGTCAATGTGACCTTGACCTTTGACCCCAAAATCAATAGGTCATCTGCTGGTCATGACCAATCACCATACCAAGTTTGAAGTTCCTAGGCCAAAGGGTTCTTAAGTTATTGATTGGAAAGCATTTTTACCTACAAGGTCAATGTGACCTTGCCCTTTGACCCCTTAACCCCAATATCAATAGGGGTCATCTGCTGGTCATGACCAATCACCATACCAAGTTTGAAGTTCCTAGGCCTAAGGGTTCTTTAGTTATTGATCGGAAACCGTTTTTACCTAAGAGGTCAATGTGACCTTGACCTTTGACCCTTTGACCCCAAAATCAATAGGGGTCATCTACTGATCATAACCAATCACCATATCAAGTTTGAAGTCCCTAGGCCTAAGGGTTCTATTGTTATTGATCAGAAACCGTTTTTACCCAAGAGGTCAATGTGACCTTAACCTTTGACCCCTTGACCCCAAAATCAATAGGGGTCATCTACTGATCATGACCAATCACCATACCAAGTTTGAAGTTCCTAGGCCTTAAAGTTCTTTAGTTATTGATCGGAAACCGTTTTTGCTTACAAGGTCAATGTGACCTTGACCTTTGACCCCTTGACCCCAAAATCAATAGGGGTCATCTACTGATCATGACCAATCACCATACCAAGTTTGAAGTTCCTAGGCCTTAAGGTTCTTTAGTTATTGATCGGAAACCGTTTTTCCTTACAAGGTCAATGTGACCTTGACCTTTGACCCCTTGACCCCAAAATCAATAGGGGTCATCTACTGATCATGACCAATCACCATACCAAGTTTGAAGTTCCTAGGCCTTAAGGTTCTTAAGTTATTGATCGGAAACCGTTTTTCCTTACAAGGTCAATGTGACCTTGACCTTTGACCCCTTGACCCCAAAATCAATAGGGGTCATCTACTGATCATGACCAATCACCATACCAAGTTTGAAGTTCCTAGGCCTAAGGGTTCTTTAGTTATTGATCGGAAACCGTTTTTGCTTACAAGGTCAATGTGACCTTGACCTTTGACCCCTTGACCCCAAAATCAATAGGGGTCATCTACTGGCCATGACCAATCACCATACCAAGTTTGAAGTTCCTAAGCCTAAGGGTTCTTTAGTTATCACTCGGAAACCATTTGGTCTACGGACCGACGGACCGACAAGTGCAAAGCAATATACCCCCTTTTCTTCGAAATGGGGGCATAATAAATTTTTTTAGAAACAAGAAATAAACAAAAACTGTAAGCATTAAGGAATGCGTCACTTTACTGCATGTGTTTGATATTTGGTTAAACTTGACACTGTAAAGGCCACATGGCAACTTTCCAGTTTTTTACTGGTGGAAAAATAAATCTGTCTAAAAATGAGAAAAGGCACTGTAAAATTCTACCATACCTTTTTCCTGTTCAGTGATCAGCATCTGTAGAGCTATGGCAGCTTCCACTTTTACAGGTAGTTCCTTATCTGTACATAGACAGTTCTTTGTATGCTCCAGGGCTTGGAATAAATGTGCTTCTTGTTTGAACTTCATTTCACTAAATACTCGAATCACCCAGCAGGCCTAAACATAGAGAAATGCACGCATTGATATTTAAATAAGATAACTCTTTATCAAAAATCCAAGACCATAGTATGAGGTTAATTAGAATTTCAGATATTTGAATACAGAATGTACACTAAACACTGAAAATTCTAAAATTTGCAACAAATCTCAAAAGAATTCTTTCATTACCTTGGACCCCTTTTCTCAGAAATTTCATTATACATAAAAATTGAAATACATTTGAAATACTGTACCCTCTACATTTAAACTACATCCATATCAATTCAATTTGCTCAACTGCACTTTTCATTGTACAGAAAAAGCGACAGAGTCCAGGTCCACTAAATTCATCAATAAGTCAATACAGTAAATTTTTAATAATAATCATGCTTATTTACTCAACTTCAGAGACAAGAATATATACATGACCTTACCCTTGCTCTCAAAAATCCATTTGGACTGACAAACTCTGGGTATACATGTGAAGTCAGCATCATCTCTGCTTGGTCTTTGTATATCTTTCTCTAAAATGGCAACAAAAATACATATAAAATATGAAAAGCACAAATCTAAATAACATCAATAGCAGTAGTTTTTCCATCAAATCTAACTTTTACAATGCTAAAAATTTGACTTGTTCATTTTTCAATATGAACAAAACACATTCTTCACTTTTCATGCAATTTTCTTTAAGTACGACTGAGTAGCAAACACTGCAGACCATGATCAGTCGGCAAAGATGCGCCCTCTGGTCTGATGACAGCACTGGTCACATAGGTAGATTCTCTAGGAGCCAGTACGCTAAGGATTTTAGCAGCCAGTGTTGGTATTAGTTTAGCTAGAAGCAATGAAGTCATAATCAAGTTTGAAGCATTTCAATACACAATGCATTAACAAATGTAGACCAGAATAAAATCTTAAGTTGGTGAGCATTATGTGTGCCCTGCTATTATTTCAGCCAACAACTTTTTTCCTGCAAGTACAGGGTCAGCAAAATCTGATTCTGACTAACTTATCTGTTTTTATCTGAAGCATTTCTAAACTTGTCTCAGTTGTCTGTATATTTATTTAGTATATTCTTCAAAATTTCTACTTAAACATACAGGCAACCTGGACAATACAATACCTGGACAATTGATTTTGCCACCCCTGAATCAATATTACAATATACTGTTTACTATATTTAGACCACACTGTACATAACACAGAATGAGTACAATACAGTAATTAATTTCTCCTGAGGTTAAAATTCACTACAGTAAAGTACACTGGTAGTGAACAGTTATGATCAGGAATTGGTCATCAATCAAAGGAGCAATTTCTTCATCATCTGATGATACACTTAAAATAAATACATGCAACAATAAACATTAAAACATAAAGATCCTTACAAAAAAATGTTTGCACTGAGCTTAAATAACACACTTAAAAGACAACTCAACCCTCCCCAATGACCATAACCACTAGGCCACGGACCCCCTAACCTACTAGGATTTGAAACAACAGCGGTGAAAGGTATGTGACCACCAGGACGGTCAAACAATTAATTTTGGTCAGACTGACCCTAAAGTACAATATTTTTTATGCATCAAATCACTAGTCAGACATAATTAAAATCATAATGTTTACTATATTTAGACCACAGTGTGCATGCAACACAGAATGAGTACAATACAGTAATTAATTTCTCCTGAGGTTAAAATTCACTACAGTACAATACACAGATAGTGAACAGTTATGATCAGGAAATTCTAGTTTCTATTGGTTACCAATAAAAGAATTTTGAAACTTGATAGAATCAAATGACCTTATCTTCAGAGAAAGGGAGATAACTGGTTATTTCACAGCACACTTTTAAACTCTGACCAATAATTAAATAACATTTTTAATGGAAGGGAGTTAACTACTGATTTCAAAGCACACAATAATTCAGTTTTTAGAAACATGTGGGTTTTTTAAATCCCTTTTGAAAATGGGTCTGTCAACACAAACGATTTTAAGCATGAAATGAAGCTTATATTACAGGTTAACATTGTCTTGAATATAGCAAGATTGCGAATTTTGGGATTATAATCACTGACAACTTTTTGGGAAAAAATAACAAACTTCTAACAATTAAGAACTATCAAATAGTTGAAAGAAAGTCAGTAAAATATAATTACTAATATGTTTACTATATTTAGACCACACTGTACATAGAACACGGAATGAGTACAATATAGTAATTAATTTCCCCTGAGGTTAAAATTCACTACAGTAAATAACAACCAATATTGAACAGTTATGATCAGGAAAATCTAGTTTCCATTGGGTACCAATAAAAGAATTTTAAAACTTGACAGAATTCAATCCTATCACTTCAGAGGAAGGGAGGTAACCAGTTATTTCACAGCACACATTTAAACTCGGAGCAATAATAAAATAGTTTTTTTTTTTCAGAGAAACTACATTTTTTCAGACTTAACAACTTATTTCATAGCACAAAATAATAAACTTCTGACGACTTTTTGAGAAAAAATACACATTTTCAACAATTAGGAATTATCAAATAGTTGGAAGAAAGCTGGTAAAATATATATTATTAAGTTGTTTACTATATTTAGACCACTCTATGCATGTAACACAGAATGAGTACAATACAGTAATTACTATCTCCTGAGGTTAAAATTCACTACAGTAAATAACACAGATAGTGAACAGTTATGATCAGGAATAGAGATTTCTCTATTTGTTTGAATGATGATCAATCTCTTGTGTGTCACAATAATCACATGAACAACTTCTGCAGGGAGTGTTGCAAGAATCAGTGGAACAACTTTTACAGGGTTGAACTTATTAGAATTTTTCTGTAACAGGCCATTTAGAATTAAGGCGGTCATTTTTGGTGTTATGCCTTATAATACAACAAAGACTGCTTTCTTAGTTTTCAGGTGGCCAACAATGCAATTGAGAAAGCCATTTTGTCCTTCAGCAACCTCCTAATAACAACCTTGAATAAGATGCGTAAGGATAACTTATCTAAACAATATTTTATTTTTGTATTTGTCTATGATAGAAGTAGATAAAGCAAGTATGGAGCTGTAGAACTTCTATACCACAAACCTCAAAATTTTCAACATGATTAACCTTTTACATCAACCTTTTCTCTTCATGCCCATGATACATTTACAAAGCGGCTACAATAACCAATACCTTCAATAAAACTTCAGCTACTGCCCCAATCATGTGTAGACCTCCGTCCTTCTGTCTGGGTGTGGCCGTCCCCTGGGTGAGTATCTGCATACAGAAACCCATGGACTTTTGTAACACTTCTTTTCTCTTGGAGGCACAGGAATAAAACAAGGTTTGTGCAGCAATCACAGGGGAAAGAAAATCTTCAAAAACATCTGAAAATGTACGACAGAAGGCAATTTAAGTAATGTTTTATGATAAATGGCAATTTATGAAGCATGTATGATTAAAGATAATTTGAAAACAGGCAATTTGAAAACCTTATATGATAAAAGGCAATTTGAAAAGCTTGTATGATATTTTGACAAAAGGCAATTTGAAAAACTTGTATGATTAAAGTCAATTTGAAAAGCTTGTATGATAAAAGGCAATTTGAATGGCTTGCATAATAAAGGGAAATTTATGTAGCTTGCATGACCAAATGTAATTTATGTAGCTTGCCAATTTAAAACATTTTAAAACTCACCATATTTTATGCGGATATATTCCTGTGGATCTGTTTCCCACAATTCCTCATCAGCATCACTGTGACACATCAGTGGGAAAATCACTTCTTGTATGATCGGCTGAATGTGAGGCTTCATAAACTTCCACGAAAATGCATGACTCACACTGAAATAGATAAGTTACTAAATTCTTGAAATTTCAAATTTAAATGTGAAATTTTTATCTTTAGCCAAATTTAGACTTGGACATACACAGTAATGGTCATATGGTGGTGGTGTTGATAGATAAAGGCAGTAAGCCACACTGAATTTACCAGAGCACAGTTCAGTCACTGCATTGTTCCTGGGCAGGCTGTCAAGCAGTTTACCGGTACTAGTTGCCTTCACTTCCGCAAGGAACTTATAACTTTTGTACATGCCAGAGCAGAGGTACAGTGTGAACAGTACTGAGTGTGAATGACCTTAGAATTTTCTAATCAATCAGAAAGAAAGTGACCTGCACCGTCTAGGAATCAAACCAGGGCTGCCAGATTCACAGTGCTATGCTCTACCTAGTGAGCTGACCGAATGGCTATTGTTATGGTCATATAGTAACTTTCCAGCTTTTCCGACGACTCGGGTACATTTCAGGCATATTAGCATTTTTGAATATTTTGTCACTTTTTTTTTGTTAAGTATTGTACTCACCCTTGATTGAGGAAGTTAAGAGCTTGCTGAAGGACACGTGGTGCTACATATGCTTTCTGTCTGTACTGTTCCAGTATCTTAAATAACACTTGTATGATACCACCTGAAATATTTCAATCAACAATCATCTCTGCCTACTAAATACAGTTTAATTTAAGACATGCTTACGTGAATAAAACACTTTAGGTATCTATATTAACCCTAAAGAACTGTTTGCTGATAAGATTGAAAATCTGTAGGCAGCCAGACAGCACAGCTGTTAAAAGAGTTCAGAGGGTCTGAGGTTCGAGTCCCAGTCAGGCTTCTCATATTTCCCACCTTGTGACACATATTTCTACATATTACTTAAACTTGCATTATAGTGAAGGACAATAATACTTCAGTGGGAATGTATCTACTGACTTATCATAATAAATTAAAGTTAAAAGTTTAGATCAAGTATAAAAACATGATAAGCATTGGTATTTTCCTCTAAATAGTGGATTGAAACATAAAGTACCTGAAAATGCTTTCAAATACCACTCTGCAAACTGGTTGTATTCTTTTGTTACGTTTCCTGGGCTTCCATATCTGTTAGGAAGTATAAAATACTTACATTCAGTTTCAACAGTTTATAATTTTAACACACACACAAAGTACATCTTCAAATTGAAATTAATAAAAAAACTAGAAATGTGTCTATAGGACACGGATGCCCCCACACGCCACTGTTCTGTCAATCTTATGACTCTAGGTCAAATACTTTTTTAGACTACATGTGCCACAAGTTGAAAACTAAAAATCAACAAAGGGCCATAATTCTGTTAAATTTGGTCGCAGCAAAAATTCCTCCCTTTACTACCATCTACACATTAAGGTTGTTCATCCCTGGAAGTTTAAGCAAAATCTGCCATCCGGATTAAGAGGAATTGCGTTCACAAAATTTCAACATAGTATATAGTGAAAAAAATCAACAAAGGGCCATAATTCTGTTAAATTTGGTTACAGCAAAAATTCCTTCCTTTACTACCATCTACACATTAAGGTTGTTCATCCCTGGAAGTTTAAGCAAAATCTGCCATCCGGTTTAAGAGGAGTTGCGTTCACAAGATTTCGGGACGTACGGACGGACGGACACGTGCAACGCTATATGCTCCCACTCTGTGGGGGCATAAAAAACTTACTTGTAACACATTTATTGAAGCATGATCTAGCAACTTATATATAAATCTATTTCAGGTTTTAGTTCCTGGAAATATCAATCAACTTTTAATTATACTTCCTGGAACTAACCAGTACTGACTTAATACAAGGAAACATGGTTGTGAAGAGAGCGAGACTTGAACATACGATCCCTTGACTGAGTGGCAAATAACCACAGGGCACTGCTCCCCTCCTGAATAATACATTTCTTTCATTTGTCCAAAACTAAGTCCCTTACAAAACTCAGCAAAAGGCAAAATCATTTATTCATCAGGTATAAAGTATGTTAATATTGCACAAGTTTTTTCTTTTTTCTTCTTTGTTTTTATTGGCCAGGAAAATACCTTCTCACCTTTCGAAAGTTCTGGATAGGATATGTACTGCCCACTTTTTCACCTTCCACCAAGCTAGTTCTGGCCTATCGTCCTCATCCACTTGATTTGTATCCTGTACATGGAAAGTTTATCATTGTGTCACAACACCATAATAATATGTTATGATCATTTTACTTTGTATATTTAACATTCCAACACCCTTCACATTATTCCCCACTTAAACAGACAGTACAGTTGTGTGCATTATTATAAGATATATGTGTGGCATAAACCGTACATCAGGTTATGTTTTTCGCGTACGGCAAATTTCACAAATCTGGCTGTAATACTTTTCCGCTCAATGTAGTTCAACATTTTTTTTTATCAGTTCCCTTTTTTATTAACATGTTGGAATGGATATAAGATATTATATTTTCATTTACTATAATAAAGCAAGGTTTATCGTTTCATGCTTAGTAAATAATCTATATTCATGACCATTTTAACTTAAGCCATGCATTATTGTACAACATTGCACACAAAAATTGCTACCTTTTTTCTTTAAACTCAAATTGTGCATTACTCTACAACAATGCACTGAAAATTGCAATGTATTTCCTAAAAACAAGACAACTCAATGCATCATTTCCATTATCTCTGCACTATTGGACTGAGATAAACTTTATAGCACATTTAATGTCTTTTCTTTCACCAAAAATATTCCTTAACATCTTATATATGCTAATATATTATAACTGAACCAAAGATTCAGTTTTTAACAGTTTTAATTCACACTCTAAAATAATTTTCAAGGCCAGGTGTATAATTTGCTTCGGCAATGCAAATTTCTACTCATATACAAAGCTCTTGGTTGGACTACAGATTTGAAACATCACTTCCACTCACCTCTGGAACAGGCCTGTCTACAATTTGTCGTATCAACTCCATCCATTGTGTAAATACTTCTTTTGTTAAAGTTTCCAATGGTAAATAGTTCTGAAAATAAACATGCCAAGCTACAAATCAATTTCACCTTGAAAGAATCATTAATTTGTTATTTCTTATCAGGCATTAGTTTGGCAAAATTACGGATAAATTATAAAATTCTATATTTATGAATTAACTAGATTATCTTTTTTTAGACCGTATTTCAGAATTTAATATTCCTTTCCTAAACCAGGATGCCTTTTAAGCTATGTAGGAGACCCATTTATCATTATAAAGATATACTAATAATCATAGTGTAAAATCATGTAAAGTGTTACCTGGATAAAAGCGTAGTATATTTTAAGAACTTGTTTTTGTAGCAAATTTGAGGCCTCGGAGGGATCTGGCAAGAGCTGGGCACATCTTTGATAACACAGGGGTAACATGTGGGCCATTGCTGTGTCTAAAATCTTCCTTTCTTCACTTCTCTTGTACCTATGAAAAGAATTGGAAACATTCAGTAAATTTGGAAATTTATCAAACATAAGGATTAACCTCAACACTTATTTATAAAGGTCCCTACTACTTTTGTGATTCATATCAACAGGCTGTTAATTTGTTAACATTGCACAGTGGTCCTCTCTTAATTTTAATAATTATAGCCATGAAAACTTGGAAAAAATAACCAGCTGTACTTTCAGAATGATTTACATGTATTTTTATAAGGGCCTTTTTTCCTTCTTTTGAAGGGGTCGTTAAAAGAGATTCCCCAAAGAAAATTCTTTAAAATCATGCAGTTTCCCCAAAAATTGAATTTACATCAAGTTTTTAATCATTTCAATGTGATTTGTTATTAAAATAACATATAATAAATTGCATTTACACATCTGACTCAAAAGTTGCTCAGTTTAAATATAAATATTGCTTTCAACAAAATGGTTTAACCGATTAACTTACTCATAGACTTTCACCATTTGGTACAAACACATAAAGGCTCCCATCCACGTAGCATGATTTTCTGACTGTATATAGAAGGCAACCTTCTCCGGGAAATTGGGCCAGCGACCAGGATAATCATATTTGATTATTGTGCTTAGACAAACGCACAGCTGTACTCTACAATAATAAAAACATAGGTGTCAGAGTAATGTTTACACAATTTAACGTCAACTTCCATATATCTCCCACAATATTCTATTTATTAACATTCTGCCTGCTTAAAGCAGGATTAACAATATCTAATTGAAATTTGTATTTTGAAAACCAAAATATGTACCACTTGTTTTCACATTACAAGTTTAATGAAGTATTACCGTGGACATAAAAAATGAACCCTTTTTCTATGAAATCATGCATTATCATGCTATTGGCGGGCACCTGGCCCTAGTCCGGTATAAAGTAATAAGGGTCCTGTATTCAAGCAGAATACATTTGAGCCGCACCATGACGAAACCAACAAAGTGTGCTTGCGACCAGCATGAAACCTGGCCAGTCTGATCAGGATCCATGTTGTTTGCTATCAGTTTCTTTACTTGTTCTAGGGTTTGTAAGCGAACAGCATGGATTCGCCTGATCAGAATGCTGGAATGCGCAGGCTGGTGCTGAGTGCCATGCTGGTTGCAAACGCATTTAATGGTTGGTTTTTGTCATGGGGCGCTTCATTTGTAACTTTATACATACCTGATTGGATCTGGAGCATGTATCACAGCTTCTATGATGTTGTTTCTAATTGTCAATCTGTCTTGCTCATGTATACTAAATGGCACAGGATCACCCGGATTTTCCGCTTCCCTCTCATTCCAGAATTGTGTGCACATGTTCTTGAGGTAAATTACACCTAGAGTAAACACATGGAAATAAGAGCATTATCTAATGTGTTATGTGAATAGGAAAATCACACTTTACAGCTTTCTTTTTTTTTTTAATTTTGAGGAAGTGTCAAAGTGCAATTAAATGAATTTAATTGGGAAAAACATGGGCGATGTGATAAAAATTGAGATTTTTTCCCAAAAAAGTTAATTTATCATGTACAGGGCTCTCGATTGACACGGGGATCCGGGTTTTGACTCGTGAAAATCAGGAAATGCACAAATTTGACACGTGATAAAATCTGCTCAAGAGTCAATTTGCCCACGTGGGGATTTTCAGCTATGCAATAATAATTACCTTAAATCCACACCTAAGGTTACCTATCAAATCCAACACATGTTCAAATCACATCTAAAAAAAATGTACCGTGTGTAATAACACAGCATTGTTTATAGCCTGTGCACTGAAAGGGTGACATCATTGGATGCAATTTGACAGCGGGGCTAAAAAATAGCTCTACACAACTGATAAGAATTTCATACTTGAGGTGTCAATTATTGATTGCTTTTAAAGGTTTTTACTAATGAAATCGTGTCTTGATTTAACTTGGAGTGCCTGTACATTTTGTTATTTTCCATTAAATATTCCTAGTCCATTTTGGTATTTAAAAATATTAATATGAATATAGCATACCAGTAAAGATATTTCTTTATATTTTAAACTTTTAATCAGAAAAGCTGCAACTGGCTTAAATTGATTCTTTCACAGTAAAGATGTCTATTTCATTTTTTTTTATTTGTTTGTTTTTGTGTTGTCTTTTTTTTTTTCTTCTTTTTTTTTTTGGGGGGGGGGGGGGGGGGGGGGGGGGGGGGGGGGGGGGGGGGGGGGGTATATATACATTATAACCAGGGGCATTTTTTTTCCATGTTTAAATATTATCAATTTAGACTTGAGAAATCTACACAAAAATGGACCTCAGTAACTGAAAACATAATTTTGTAACATAAAATGATTCATCGTAGTCAAAATGACCCTAAGAAAAAAAATTATTTGACTCATGAAAATCTTGGCCAGAGTCTTTGACTCGTGAAATTCTGACCCTACTGAGAGCCCTGCATGTAGGTTATTTCAATATTGTTTTCTTTTTGAATATTTCAAAAATACTTTTTAACATGTTTCATCAGCACATTCTAAATTTTATATAATTTATTTCTCATGGACTCATTGTGGAATTTGATATCTAAAGCATTTTATAAGGGCTAGAATTGGGGCAAACATGTCATCTGTTTTTGTACAATTGGGGGGATTTTTTTTCTGGACCAAAAGAAGGAAAATATCTCTTTTCTTATTCAAAATACAAGAATTTATACCTAATAACAAAGAAATAACTCACAATTCTGGTCTTTTTTCCTTGAAAAATCCTATAATATTATTGCTTCTATAATCAGTTAATATTAACTGGTCAATGGTTTGAAAAGTTAATGCCAAAGCAGCTGCAAAGTGTTTAGATTTTAAATGTATAACTAACCTGCTTGTCGGACTGGCATATCAATTGATTCTTCCATCACTACTTGCAGAAGAATGGGGTGCAAATCCAATTATTTTGTGGGCACCTAAAAATATTTCAAAAATGAAGTATATAACAGATTGCAGTAATAAGAATACATACACTTAAGCATTTTATTTTCAATAACTTTACAAAATAACTTCAGTGATTAGAAAGTCAATATGAAATACAGACAGGCAGATCGATTCAGTTTTACTATTTGAAATTCAAAATGGGATTAATAATTTAAACAGTTTTGTTTTTAATCAAACATCAGCATCATAGATAGAACACAATATCATTTTACAGGGCTTTTCCCTTCGTGATAGCAGGGGCCGTTTTAGTAAAGTTCTTTAAAAATCATGACATTATTCCCCAAAATTGAATTTACATAAAGTTTTTTCGCCCCCCTTTGCAAATAGACTGTGACTTTTTTCCCAAAAATTAAAAGGGCAGGGCTGCTTCCCCCAACCAGAACCTGTGAAAAAAAGGCCCTGTTTTTTTGTCTTTGCAAGTTCACGACATATTTTAATTTAAAGTTTCACAGAGGACTTCCTTTCATTTTAAATTTAAGGAATTTTAAAGGACCATTCCCAAAATACATGGCAAAAACTGATGCCTTGTCTAATATCCAGACTTCACCACAATTATATCATCAATCGAAGGTGCATACAAAATTACAATGTGAGTTTTTTCTGACAAAATCTGACATCATTAGTATTTTTTTTTTTCCCCAATTTGAAGTTTAAGGGGAACAAAAAAATAAAATAAGTAAATCATTGTAATTTTTGTTACATTTAACTGCACTGTGTCATATAAAATTGTAAAATTTGCAAATCCAAATTAGTAATTATGTGCTATGAGTGAAAAATAAAAAGTTAAATTTTTTTTTATTTCTTTTGTCTTTTTTAAATTTGATAGATAATATTATGTAGTCATTTTTTATGAATATGGGACCAAACATATTACCAATGTGTGATCTCATCGTTTTAAAGGGCATGGCGCATTTACATACGGCAAAGCTGGGGAGCCCTATTTGAATTGTTCAAAAGATTTGTAAAGGAGTAAACGGCATAACTTTATTAATTTAGACACTGCGTTGTTTATATTGGTGTTGAAGTTAAAACTGACCATCATCATTGGGAATAATATCTTCTGTGTTGATGGACAAAAGGTTTATTGATGTGAAAATATAGGAAAAGAAATGAAGTTCATTGAGATTTTAAAATAGGGATTAAACGATGATCGAGTATAATCGAAAATTGATCGTTTATAGAAAACTGATCATGCCCAAAAAAAAAAAAAATTGTTTGTTTAGGGTAACCTTCCCAAAAATTGCTAGGTAGGTAGGTAGGGATTTTTTTTTTTTTTATTTTTTTTTTTTCCAAAATCTGTCGGAAGTTCAAGTGTTTTCTTTGCACAGGCGTCTTCCTAAACTACGACATTGCCCGACTTAGTGTATTATTCATATTTTATCATATAAACAATAATTTTCTGTTCAAATCTGCATAGCTTTAAATGCCATTTAATGTTTATTTCAAAGAATAAAAACAATATCCCAAACATGTTTAAAATGTTGATGTTTGTTTGCTCAGGCACTACTTTAAAGTTTGACTCGAATTGAACGCAAACAGTGCAGATTCTCATCCAGCTTGCATGGGTTGAAACATTCTGCTTAATTGAGTAATACATTGGGCTGGTCGGTTTTAGCAAATAAAAGAGCTAAATGACATGCGTGATCTGGCTTTTCAAAAGTTTTAGTTAAAAAATCTAGACTTATTCTGTTTTCACTATTTGATATTCAGGGCATTAAATACGGGGCACACTTCATTTAAAACAATTGTAAGCTGACATTTTGAAGCTTTACAGTATAACAAAGTTTATATTTTGACACATGGTACAATTTAACAAAATCTATAATTTTGAATTGACTTTTGAAACATTGTTCACAAAAATGCAAAAACCATTGGTAAAAGAACACCCTTGCAATCAAAAACTGTTATTTTCTATCAATACATGTAGTCAACATATTAAAGACAATAGCCAAGCTTTTTGTTGAATTGGCATTTTGTAGATGTCATTCAAAGTGTCGTCTAATAGTATCCATGGGCCCATCTGATAAAAAAGCCAAGAACTAGATCTCAATAACACAGGGGAAAATGGGAGTAACATTTGTGACGGTATGAAACCAAAATGATGCACAGTAAAGGTCAGACTTCGTAGTCTGGCTAAAAATTTGTTTCAGTAGAAAAGAGGATGAAAATATACTGGAAAAGCTTTGCAGTCTCCAGAATAGCTATGTACATAAAAACCCGGGCTATACAACTCATGTCCACTTTTTCCAATGGGATAGGTCTCATTTGCCTCAACCGCTGAACTTGAACTGGTTTTAATAAATTGTGAACACTTTCAATTTTCCAATCAACTGAAATCTGAAACTTCAGTGTTTTTCACCCTTTTCATATTTAATGTTACTGTTTTTTAATATTCATTTTGAAGTGTGGCACTGGACATATCAAAACAGCTTATAAATTTTAAATACTAAAAGCAATAAAAAATAGTGGCATTGATTTTACCTAAAATGCTGTTTAACCTTGTTATTTGTGCAATAAAATTAATATATGATCTACTAAAAAAAAAAAAAAAAAATCACTGACAGGTATTGCAAACCGAGTACGAAAATTATTGGGTATGTTCGTCTTCTCGTTGTCAAATTTTCCGGGCCGGGCAGGTTTTATCGTCAGGTTTTTCGCTAATAAGCAAATTACTATCAAAAACTGTCTAATTAACAGATCCATTCACGAAAAACCACAGTAAAGCCAAAATCAAAATCACCAGGTCCGAAAGATGAACCGTCTTGAAACATGAATTGTTAACCTGGTATTTACGCATGAAATACATCAACAAAGAGAATCAAAAACGGGTCGAACAAATCATGCAAACCAACTGGATTTTACATACTTTTTTAAATGGTTTTATCCTCCACGAGTGGGGGGGGGGGGCCACTAAGTCCTATGTGCCTTATTCTAAGAAAAAATTTTTCATGTATAAAATTCCTTATTTAAAATCGGAATGTTCTCCCGAACACCTGCGTGGTTCCCTTTCCGCTTATGGTCAATGATGTAAAACGGAAGCGGAGAATACTTTCCGGGAATTCCCTTCGGTAAAAAAATCCGTCACATGAGAATTTTTGTTTCCGATAGCGGATATTCATTGGACCGCAATACAGCCGGCCAATCAAAACACGTATAACTAAAAAATGACCGATCTAAATCGTCTGAGAGTTTTACAACGTCTCAAGCTTTCAATTCTCATTTATCCGCCCTTTGAAAACTCTCTACGGCGAACGAATTTTTTTCAGAAACGGAAAAAATAGTTAGGGTCGGCGCCATTTTTATAGGTAGGGTCGGGTTACCCGAAACAGACATATTTTTTTTTAGGCCTCAGCGATGATCGATTACAAAGTTAAATAATCGATTATCAGTAATTAATTTTCTTGCAGTTACTTAAGTGACTCACTGTATTATAAAAACACTAAATTTAAAGCCATTTTGGTTGAAACAATAAATTTCATTCAATGAAATGAAATAACTGCGTGAATGGAGTCTAATAGTTGACAGTGAGGCATGCTGTTTAAAGGTATAACTATACCAAATTTGACATTACGAAAATTATTTAAAATTGCTACACAGGTCTTTTTGTATACTAAAATAAAATATGTTTTTTGACTTCACACAAAGAAGATATTTTTTTAAAATTATTCACCACACTAAAAGGTGGTTGCAATATCAATATTTAGTGTCATTAAAAAAATGGCAGTTTTGTAAAGAAAAGGACCAACTTTAACTTATTCCCATACATAGTTTATTCATTGCTTTTTTAAAAGTGACACATTAATAATTTCATAGATTTTAATGAATTTATTTGATTTAAAAATTTTTACTCAGGATGAGCATAGTATACTTTAAACTTTATTTATTTTCAGTTGATAAAGTAGTGGTTACATGCATCGGAAATGGAATTCTTATAAATTAAAGCATGATAGAACATATGTACATATTTACTTTGTATTGTTAAATGTTTTCGATTAGTATAAATCAATGAAATTGATCGAAAAGGGTTTTCGATTATTTTCGATGATCGATTATGATTTTTGTCCGATTAAGAAACCCTAATTTTAAAGGTAGGTGTGCATATTCTTTCCAGCGAAGTTTTTATCTTATTATGATAAGATGTTGAAATGCGATTTTTTTTCAAAAAGGCTTATATTAGTCTGTGTAAACTGTTGGTCATTTTAAAATAAATCATTTATAGTGTTTTTTTTTACTATACATACTTTTCAGCAGAAACGGTTTATCTTACCCAGATTTTTGATTTAAACATCAACAAAAAAAAGCCCTAGGCAATAGGCATAAAACTTCGATTATCTCCTGAAGCCCAAAATACATATCAGCTACAGAAAGACCATAAAAAGATAGCTATAATATAGTAACATTACAATGATTGGACGGTAACAACTTATATTTTCATACATTCTAAAAATGATCAAAGGAATGTGCTGCAGTGTTAGTATTGCAGGCAGGCCATGAAATTTTTGGAATTCTTTCAGTAATGGTGATTTTACTTACTATTTCCAATTGTTTTTCAGCCTCCTCCTTTGAATTGGGATCTAACGTCGCCCTTGAACCTCCACAAGCTTTTTACATCCATTCCTGACCGAAAATTTGTATTGTAACCCGGTTATATTTAATTAATTTTACGTGAAAATCTGCGTGTTCTAACAAACCCGGTCCGCCCAAGAAAAAGGAAAGACCGTTTTGTCGGATTCGTAAAATTGGTTTAGATTAAAAAAACCCCGGGTAAAATATAACACGGATGAAAATTTTGATTTTTTGTTTTGAGAGAGAAATTTAAAAGAAATACAAAATGGGTTTTAAAATAAATTGAATTTTGCTGGGCCCTAAAGAGGCCCATTATCAATCGGGAATGAGGCACGGTTTAAAATTCCAAAAAACCCAACACCAAATACATTTTTTTTACAAGCGGGAGGTCCCACCTTTAATATACTCAGTGTAGTGTTAAGGGGGTTTCAGAATTCCCTAGGGTTTTACAGAATTTTAAAAATTTTCCCTTTTTAAAAACCAATGGTAGTTTGAGAACAAAAGTAGACGTAAAACCTGGGAGTTGTAGGGTTTCTTTTTTTTCCAAACAAAGTCTTTTCAACAATCGACTTTAATAATTAAGTTCGATTAATTAAATTTAAAGAATTAAAAGATAAAAAGCACATTATTAATTTTCTAATTAAAGGGTATAGATCTAATAACGTCGGGTTAACGTTTTTTATGTAACCCCCGTTTTTGGTTACAGTAATAATTCTTAAAAACATGAAAAAATTAATTTGCATGTCAAGACCCCGATTATGTTTCATTTTAGGGAATTTTTTGTCAGCCCGGGACAAAAGATACCCGTCTTCCGTCCCCGGGCCATATACTACAAGTGTTTTTTTTAAAGTGTTATTTGGGGGAAACGTTGTGAGGAACTGGAAACCTTCAACTAATAAGTCATTTCAATTCCCCCGCTCTGAATTTTATCTTTTTGTATAAAATTTTTTTGTGAAAGTATAAACCCCGGGCGGCCCCATAAAAGTGCAGATTTCAAAAGTTTTTAAAAATTTGTATCCAGAGACCCCAAAGATTTACTCCCCCCTTTTTACATTATTTAAATATGGGATCCCCTTTACAAAATTAAAATTATAAAAACAAAAGTTTTGTCCCTTGTGTTTAGATATGTTTTTTTAATGTATATAAGTAAATTGCCAGTTGACAATATTTCCTATTCGTCAAACGTGTTTGGAAAAAAAGGGGAAAAAAAAACCCCAAAACAAGACGACGAAAGAACAACGGGAACAATACAAACAAGTTACGGGTGGAGCGAAGTGAATTTAAGGTGTATTAACTTTATACCTATATATTTACTTAATTTAAAATCCCACCTAATCCCTGCATTTTCAACATGTATTATATATCTACATGTAATATACAAACATGTTTCAAAGATTAGACCTAGCGCAAAGCAATTGTTTACTACACGTTGAGATTTATTGAGCTATTTAGCGTATAAAGCAAATATCTCCCCTACTATAAGATATTTCTGAAACCACCCAAACAGAAAAATATCTCAGAATCTAGTTTTGGCACGTCAAAAATTATTTTGGATAGAGATCCGAATTCATTCGAATGGCCGAGAAGTTGCGAATCGTTATTTTTACTACCGTGGTTGGTATGTTAGTATTATTGTAACAATATCCAAATTACTTAAATTTTCAGATCAATTTAAATGAAAAGTCTATAGGAACCTCTTCGTCTAACTGAAAGAATCATAACAGTTAAAATCATTTTATGGTGTCAAAGAGATGCGTAATAGTGTTTCTCTTTTACAACATGCAAAGATTACTTTTGATATTAGTACATGTGAGTACAACTGAGAGTGACTTTGACCCTCTACGGAAGTGAAAGGTAGATCAGGCGGATATCGAACGTTTAAAATTAAATTCTGTGCAATATAAGTCGTTGAACTACGAACTTTTTTTTGTATTGTTGGATGTTATAATGGATTAGGGCAAAAAAATGTAACTGAAAGTTAATTTTTCATATTTATGTTCATGATTTAATACTGTTTATTTAGTTTTGATTATTAATTATTATTGTAGACTCTAATTGATCGTACAACAATTATGTGACGTCAAAACCATTGTTCTGGCATCTGCATCCTATTAGATAAAATATCATTTACATGTATATAAATGGTTTGACAGATCCTCTATGATAAAGTATCTAAATTTTTACATTTTATTTATAGATGATTTAAACTTTAATCACTGACAAATGTTATGATCTCTAGTATAGTAATAAATAGTAATAACACCCCAGCTACGTCTTTAGATAGCATTACTAATATTTATACATGTATATAAAAAAAAACAACAACAGTAGAAAATTGGTCACAGCCCTAGCTTGAATGTACAAAGCACCGAAAGAAAATTGAAAGAGAAAAAAAGCCATACTTTTAGATTGGTTTTATGAAACTTGAGTTTTTATTTTTGTTATTAAAAACTTGCTAATGTTATTTTTATTGGATGGAAAGTCCAAGTTTCTGGCCTGAATACGGAAGGGTCCTATTGCACTGCAAGCGTTGAGCTTTAATTTTTTAAAAATAAATCTTGTAAATGGTGACCTGCTCATATTTCTGTTTCAAGGTCATTTAGTAGACGAGGAGGATTTCGAAACAAGGACAGCAAGAACTATGGTTCTGTCCAAGTTACAGATGAACGGAGTCCAAGCCCACAGCCTGGTAGGGAAAATATAATTATGTATATGTTTGTTTTTGTAAATCCCAGCTCCCATTGTGGAGGATCATAAGCTGTTCTCTGCTGATTCAGTCAGCGATCGTTCTCAAAAAAATTAGTTGGGAGCAGAGTATGGAAAAAATCTAATGCAGATATACTTCTTTAATTGATTTATTAAAGTTTGTCTATAGATTCACATTAAATGTACGATTATTATACCATTTGCAATCTTCATTTCTTCTGAGAAATTGGTAATCATTATCGCCACTTGACAGAGCATGTATAATAAATACTTATATATAGTCGGTATAACGTGTTATGCAGGTTAATCTACTCATGACAATATTTTCGATCTTTACTTTAAATTTGACTGATTACAAATAAAAAAAGTCATATTTGAAAATGGTTGCAAAATAGTTACGTCACGACAGAGATCTTAACTTACCAACGATCCGAATATCCGGATTCATCCGGATGTCTGATCCGGATATTCGGATTGCGGATTCTGATCCCTGCAACATCCCTATTAATTAACACAAAGTCGCTAACAACCAAGAAAAGTGGACTTTATCTAAGGGTTTATGCACATAGGATTGAAAATATATCGATTTATAATTAGAAATGTAATTAGAAATGTAACACAAAAAAGCATACCTGAATTATGTAATGGTTTAAAATTTAGAATTTACGCCGTGCACTTTGTCTGAAAGTCACGTGAGACGTGAGCACTGTCTGAGTCTGTACATTAGAACCAACTTTATTTGTTCATTCCCCCAACTTATTTTAGTGGCTGGCCTTCAAGCAGACGAAAACAAGATAGCCAAACTGAGAGGACAAGTGAATGAAGTTAAAGACATCATGAAAGATAACATTGAGAAGGTTATAGAAAGAGGAGAGAAAGCTCAAGACCTAAGTGATAGAACAGGTTTAATTTTGCATCCCTTTATCACAAAATCCCGCCTTATACACCACGTCCCGCCCTCTCAAAAATATCGACAACCACATCCCTCTAAAAGAAAAATGTGCGACCTGGAATACTGACATTAAGACAATCGTTTTTTCGAGTTTTTACGTTCGCGCTTTACGTTCGCGTTACACGTTCACGTAAAGATAAAATACCGGCCTAACTCGACTTGATGCTTATGCCACTGTGTTTAATTAAATACCATGCATGTAATATAGTTTGTCTATGATACTGTCTTTAGTGCATGAATCGTACTTTATGATGGATTATGTATGGAAATACGCCGAAAACAGGATTTCTAACACCATGTTGACAATATTAACGCCGCACTGTTTTGTATGACATGTTACTACATACACTTACATGTATAATTCTGTGTGTTTTGTCACATGAAGTATCTTATTGTTAAACAAAATGGATTTCACGCTAAAGTATAAAAATAGAAAAGTGACAGTAAGACCCCATTCACAGAAAAACGCACCATTCGATCTATGTATTCAATGCTTTAACAGACTATCTAAAATCTCTGAGATCTTTAAAACTTACTAATATATATAATTTACATAGCTATAGTACATTATCCGATAAGTCAATAATATGAATACAAAAACAAAACGCGCAAGTTATGTTTTAATGTAAAGCATGTTTTCATGCATGAATGTTGCGTACCATAAATATTATGTGAATCGCAATTAAATCGTAAGAAAACATCGGTGATTTCCGTCAATGTCCGTCTAGTTTCACGCTGTTGCCCCTCTTTTTTGATATTCAATATGTTTGTTTTTTGCCCGACCAGAGATCGTGTAAAATAATCGATAATTATCGTAGCCTGCCGAAAATTTTCGAAGTGCTGTTTTACGTAACCGTTCGGAAATAGTAAATTTACAACAGGCCATAAACTTTCTTGGTGTTGTCTAGGACAGACAAAAATAATATTATTGTTATTTGTCCCAGGTGTTGTACATAGTGCCAAACAACATTTTTCTTCTTTTGATATATTTTAGAGAATTTGGCTGTAACGAGTACGAGGTTTAGAGACAGCGCTGTAGATTTAAGGAAACATACTCAAAGAAAGAATTGGAAACTTGTGTGTTGTATCGTCTGCGTGGTGGTCGTCGTATTAGCAGTAGCAGCAGT